CTCTTGACGGGCTGAAGATGCAAAAACAGAGGCTACCTTTTTATTGCGTTTTTAGGGTCATGTTTGGGGCGTTTTCAGGTCCGTCGATGTGGTGCAGCGTTATTCCCCACATGTCTCGTGGCGTTCTGGTTGTCTTCCCCACATGTTTCGTGGGGTTATGGTTTTCTTCCCTGCCGCGCCGCACCCGCGTCTCACACACCTCCCGCCTCCTCACCCACACATTCGCACACAGCCGCACGCATGCACACATTCGCACATACAAGACGCATGTTCACTGCATCATACACCCAAGACGTCTGCACGACATTCTGGGCACCACATGGGGGTGCGCAGAGGGTGGTCCCTCAGCGCAGCCTCTATCCGTGACGCGCTCGCAGATCGTGGTAGGAGCGGCACTTTCTCGACACCAAAGGGGGTGCGCAGAGGGTGGTCCCTCAGCGGGGCCTCTATCCGTGACACGCTCGCAGGGCGTGGCAGGAGCGGCACTTTCTCGACACCAGAGGGGGTGCGCAGAGGGTGGTCCCTCAGCGGGGCCTCTATCCGTGACACGCTCGCAGGGCGTGGCAGGCGCGGCACTTTCTCGACACCACTGGGGGGGCGCAAAGGGTGGTCCCTCAGCGGGGCCTCTATCCGTGACACGCTCGCAGGGCGTGGCAGGCGCGGCACATTCTCGACATCACATGGGGGTGCGCAGAGGGTGGTCCCTCAGTGTGGCCTCTATCCGTGACACGCTCGCAGAGCGTGGCAGGCGCGGCACTTTCCCGACGCCGCTGGGGGGGCGCAGAGGGTGGTCCCTCAGCGGGGCCTCTATCCGTGACACGCTCGCAGGGCGTGGCAGGCGCGGCACATTCTCGACATCGCATGGGGGTGCGCAGAGGGTGGTCCCTCAGTGCGGCCTCTATCCGTGATACGCTCGCAGGGGTGTGGCAGGAGTTGGGGGCGCTCTCTCTTTCAGGCTTCCAGGGCGTGTCAGGCGTAACAGTTCCTCGACGCCAGAGGGCGGCGCATGAGGTGGGGAGCTCCACAGATCGACATATGGGACACATGTCCTTGACCCTCGAGCATCCTGATATGTAACACATTGGCTCAAGCCGGCTCAGCTCAGCCGCAGGGGGTGGTCTCTCAGCTCGGCCGCTATCCACGACACTGGCGCAAAGCCTAGCAGGCGTGGCACTTCCTCGACACCACAGGGGGTGCGCAGGGGGTGGTCTCTCAGCTCGGCCGCTATCCACGACACTGTCGCAAAGCCTAGTAGGCGTAGCACTTTCTCGACACCACAGGGGGTGCGCAGGGGGTGGTCTCTCAGCTCGGCCGCCATCCACGACACTGGCGCAAAGCCTAGCAGGCGTGGCACTTTCTCGACACCAAAGGGGGTGGGCAGGGGGTGGTCTCTCAGCTCGACCGCTATCCACGACACTGGCGCAAAGCTTTGCAGCCGTGGCACTTTCTCGACACCACAGGGGGTGCGCAGGGGGTGGTCTCTCAGCTCGGCCGCTATCCACGACACTGGCGCAAAGGCTAGCAGGCGTGGCACTTTCTCGACACCACAGGGGGTGCGCAGGGGGTGGTCTCTCAGCTCGGCCGCTATCCACGACACTGGCGCAAAGGCTAGCAGGCGTGGCACTTTCGCGACACCACAGGGGGTGGGCAGGGGGTGGTCTCTCAGCTCGGCCGCTATCCACGACACTGGCGCAAAGCCTAGCAGGGAACATTCGCGACGAGGGCCCAGAACGCAGGATTGTGCATAGATATTATATACATAAGCAAACACCTAAGATTTAAATTAAGTATGTGGGGTTCCTCGGTAGCGTAATTCCCTGCCGCGCCGCACCCGCGTCTCACACACCTCCCGCCTCCTCACCCACACATTCGCACACAGCCGCACGCATGCACACATTCGCACATACAAGACGCATGTTCACTGCATCATACACCCAAGACGTCTACACAACATACTGGGCAGCACGTGAGATATGTCCCGATATGGCCGCACACGCATCACACACATACGCACGGCAAGCCATGCGGCAGGCAAGCAGGCGTGGCACTTCCTCGACACCATAGGGGGTGCGCAGGGGGTGGTCTCTCACCGCGGCCGCTATGCACGACAGTCGTCCAAGCACAGCAGGCGTGGGCACTTTCTCGACACCACTGGGGGGGCGCAGGGGGTGGCCCCTCAGCGGGGCCTCTATCCGTGACACGCTCGCAGGGCGTGGCAGGCGCGGCACTTTCTCGACACCACTGGGGGGGCGCAGAGGGTGGTCCCTCAGCGGGGCCTCTATCCGTGACACGCTCGCAGGGCGTGGCAGGCGCGGCACATTCTCGACACCACATGGGGGTGCGCAGAGGGTGGTCCCTCAGTGCGGCCTCTATCCGTGACACGCTCGCAGAGCGTGGCAGGCGCGGCACTTTCTCGACACCGCTGGGGGGGCGCAGGGGGTGGTCCCTCAGTGCGGCCTCTATCCGTGACACGCTCGCAGGGCGTGGCAGGCGCGGCACATTCTCGACACCACATGGGGGTGCGCAGAGGGTGGTCCCTCAGCTCGGTCGCTATCCACGACACTGGCGCAAAGCCTAGCAGGCGTGACACTTTCTCGACACCACACGAGGTGCGCAGGGGGTGGTCTCTCAGCTCGGCCGCCATCCACGACACTGGCGCAAAGCCTAGCAGGCGTGGCACTTTCTCGACACCACAGGGGGTGCGCAGGGGGTGGTCTCTCAGCTCGGCCGCCATCCACGACACTGGCGCAAAGCCTGCCGCGCCGCACCCGCGTCTCACACACCTCCCACCTCCTCACCCACACACTCGCACACAGCCGCACGCATGCACACATTCGCATACAAGACGCATGTTCACTGCATCATACACCCAAGACGTCTGCACGACATACTGGGCAACACGTGAGATATGTCCCGATATGGCCGCACACGCATCATACACATACACACGGCAAGCCATGCGGCAGGCGAGCAGGCGTGGCACTTCCTCGACACCATAGGGGGTGCGCAGGGGGTGGTCTCTCAGCTCGGCCGCTATCCACGACACTGGCGCAAAGCCTGGCAGGCGTGGCACTTTCTCGACACCACAGGGGGTGCGCAGGGGGTGGTCTCTCAGCTCGGCCGCCATCCACGACACTGGCGCAAAGCCTAGCAGGCGTGGCACTTTCTCGACACCACAGGGGGTGCGCAGGGGGTGGTCTCTCAGCTCGGCCGCTATCCACGACACTGGCGCAAAGCTTTGCAGCCGTGGCACTTTCTCGACACCACAGGGGGTGCGCAGGGGGTGGTCTCTCAGCTCGGCCGCTATCCACGACACTGGCGCAAAGGCTAGCAGGCGTGGCACTTTCTCGACACCACAGGGGGTGCGCAGGGGGTGGTCTCTCAGCTCGGCCGCTATCCACGACACTGGCGCAAAGCCTAGCAAGGAACATTCGCGACGAGGGCCCAGAACGCAGGATTGTGCATATATATATATATATTATACATAAGCAAACACATAAGATTTAAATTAAGTATGTGGGGTTCCTCGGTAGCGTAATTATGATGATGATGATGGTGATGATGATGGATGAGTGTGGTAGTGATGATTATGCTGACGGCGATTGACGATGCTGATGAGTTTGGTGATGGTGATGGTGATGGTGATACTACCGCTGATTATGCTGCTGATGATACTGCTTTTGCTCATGTTGATGGTACTGATGGTAGTGATGATGATGATGATGATGATGATGATGATGATGATGATGATGATACTGATGATACTTATGCTGATGATGCTGATGATGACGATGATGATGCTGATGGTGGTGGTGGTGATGGTGACAATGGTGAGGGTGGTGGTGGTGATGGTGGTGCTGGTGATGATGATGGTGATGACGATGGCGATGACGACGACCATAATTATGATGATGCTGATGAGAATGATGATGACGATGACGATGACGATGACGATGATGATGACGATGACGATGCCGATGCCGATGCCGATGATGATGATGATGATGATGATGATGATGATGATGATGATGATGATGATGATGATGATGATGATGATGATGATGATGATGATGATGATGGTGCTGGTGCTGATGATGGTGATGGTGGTGATGCCAGAATGATCATGACAACGATGATGACGACGAGTTTGATGCTAATGCTGATGTTGTTGCTGCTGCTGGTACTGATGATGATGCTGCTGCTGATGATGATAATGATGATGATATTGATACTGGTGCTGATACTGATGATGATGATGATGATGATGATGATGATGATGATGATGATGATGATGATGATGATGACGATGATGAATCACGACCCCCTCTTTCGGCCGCCGACCGCGTCCCTGGGGAGAGATCGACATGAAAAGTCCGACCTAAAGCCGCGGGGCTACCCCCAGGATCCTCTGGAGAGGCCGCGCAACCCACGAGGGGAAACGGGACGGGCGACTGGGCGCTCGCCCAAAAAAGGCACGTCCTGGCCGATGCGGCTCGCTTTGGCTCGCCTGCGGCAGCAAGCGCGGGAGGCGGAAGGCTCATCCGGCTATGTCGAACGAGCGGCCAGAAAGAGTGCTGGCCTTTGCCCGCGGCTGTCTCCCCCCCCCTCCCCCCAAACATCCGACGACTTGTTGCTTCACTCCGCCGCCCCAAGAGCTCTCGACTCCTTCCCCAGATTTTGTTTGTCCCGGATTCGTTTCTGGCCGCAGAGAACAACGGACCCCCGAGGCCGAGATCGAGTGCAACCTCCAGAACTGAACATTTCACATCGTCGGAGATATGGGTCTCTCTTTCTCTTCTTTTGTTTCTTTCTCTCTCTCTCTCTCTTTCTCCCCCCTCTCTCTCCAGGGGGGGGCCCAAGATGGGGGGCCGTGAGGGGTGGGGCCCTGATGATTTCTAAGGGCTCCAGAAGCCGTGTGGAGGCGGACCGCGTGGTGACCTTGGAATGCCCGACGACCGCACCGCGCGGAGCATCACCGCGACCCTGGAGGCCCCAGTCGCCTGAGGCCTCCCAGGAGAACGACCCGACGCCCAAACCTGCGCGGCGTCCCCGAACCCCCCTCGGACTCACCACGCGAAGCGGTCACCACACCGTTCTGGGGGGCCCCTGGATCCTTGAACCCGCCATGCGCTGCCTGCGACGCCGCCGCGCCTCGGCGCCGTGCACTCCTTCGGCACGCCCGCGATGGACGTGACGCTCTGAGTGGTTCCCCGCCCTTTCTTCCCTGTCCTCGGAGGCCCAGAGGTTGACACCAACACCAGTTCCGGCAGTGTGCCTCCACCGAGGGAGGATGGTCCCGATCTCGGTGATGGTGGCAATGTTCTGGCTTCGTAGGCGGCCGAAGGACAACCACCTAAAATTCAGGATTATCTTCCACTGGTGGAGGCAACCCTCTGTGCTTTTGGATGTCACGACAATGGACACTCTAGCAATCCTGCCATTGAATTAAAAATATGTTTTAAATGTGTAAAACATGTTCTAACAATAAGTCAAACATGCTTTTTAAAACACATATTCAAAACATGTTTGAATCATTGTTTAGACATCTGGAAATCATTTGGCAGCATGCTTCCTCTCCATTACTCGACTTCCACAACCCTGTGTTGGTGTTGGTGCTCATTTCCAAGCCTCCCGTTCCCCGCGCCCTCCTCCGCTCTCTGGGCATCACTTCGACCTCGGCGCGCCCCGTCCCTGGCCCCACCTGCGCCTGCCGCCGACTCGCTGGCGCCCGCTGACTTGCAGAGCTCCCTGGGCCCGCCCAGCTTTCGGGAGCGAGCTGCCTAGGCACACCGACGCTGCTTTCGGCCCCGCCCTGGAATACACTCGGCCCTGATTGGGCAGGACACGCGAGAGGACACAAGACCCTTCCGAGGGCCACATCGCCATAGGAGTGCAAGAAGGCACGTGTCGCGAAGCACAGGACACAAGGGCGCCTTTGAGCTGGCAAGGTGGACCTACTAAGCCGGGCCGACTGTACGCACAGGGAACCGGAGCCTTGTGTACACGGGGTTCCTGATGTCTATATAGAGGACCCAAAACCACATAATCAGAAACTTTTGGCGCTTCGGGCGGGTTTCTTGGATCCGCGCCGGACCCCCCTCCCTGGCGCGCGGAGCGCGCCAGGGGCGGCGCCGGAGGCGCCGCTGGGGGGCCCAGCGCGGATCCGAGAAACCCGCTCGGAGCGCCAAAAGTTCATGTGCATGGCGTTCTGTCTTCTTCGAGTCTACGTGCTTCGTTGCTTCCCCGGGGAAGCGGGGGACAACGTGGACACCCCCGCTCGAGGCCCTGGCCGCGGAACCGCCGACTCGGATCGCGCCCTTCTGCCCCGCTCTCCGCGCGGCGCCCCCGGCCGCGGGGGCGCGGCCGCCCGCCCGTGTCTGCACGCTCGCCCCGTCGCCCCTGAGTCCTCCCGCGCACCGCCTCCCTCTTCCTCATCCTCCTCCTCCTCCTCCCACTCCTCCTCCTCCAACTCCCCCTCCTCCCCTCCTCCTCCGCCTCTCCTCTCACTCCCCCTCCCTCCTACCTCCTCCCCTCCTCCTCCTCCACCTACCCCTCCTCCTCCCCCTCCTCCTCCTCCTCCTCCTCCCCCTAGGAACGTGGAGAACCGACATCACCACCACCACCAGGGACCACCAGCGGGAGAAGCCGGGGAGGGGCCCCCTGGCGGTGTGGCCCCCCCCTCTCGCTCGGGACCCCCTCCCCATCCCCGGCTCGGAGAGGCACCGTGGACCTCCTCGCTGGAGGTGGCCCCCCTGGCGGTGTTGGTGTCGCTCCTCCTCCCCCCCAGAGAGGGGCCTCGAGAGGCCGTTCGACCGAGCAAGGCCCCCACGTCCTGGAGGCCGTAAGCAGTAGCTTTGGCCAGACACGGGCTCGGCAGCTCTTGAGCTGACGACTGCTCTCTTCCCGAGAGTGCAGCCGCGCAGGGACCGCCCGCGGCAACAATCCCGCGCAGAACCGTGGCGCTTCGGCCAGGGGGAGGCGTGCCATCGCAACGACCCGGGCGCCACCGGAGGTCTCGGCGAAGCCTGGCGCCACCCAGCGACCCGGGCGCCACCGGAGGTCTCGGCGAAGCCTGGCGCCACCCAGGGCACTCTCCCAGTAGAGGAAAAAGAACTATGCACATACACCGATTCTGGCCAGGCCCATCCTGAGCCCAGGATCGGTGCATACGCCCTCCTACCTTGGCCAGGAAGGCATATGCACCGATCCTGGGTCAAGGATGAGCCTTGCCAGGATCGGTGCATGTGCATAGCTGTCGTCGCCCGATCCCAGACCAGGAGAGGATCGCCGCCGCGTCGACGCGGTGCTGACCCCAGGCCGCCGAACTTCGCGCGTCGCGCCCCGCGATGCGCGGTCAGGTTCGCGCCCTCGCGCCGCCACCTCGGAGAAGGGCAGCCGCTCCGGCCCAGACCGCGGCGCGCGACGCGTGATCGTCTTCGCCGCTCTGGGGGTGACCAAGGGAGGGACTGGCTCGGGGGGGGGACATCGACCTGGAATCGCCGATACGTCGCTGAGAAACAGGCAAGAGCCCGATAGTCCCACGAATAGCGATTCCGCTCGTTCCAAGATCGGTCTTGAGGCGAACCCGGCCGTGGCGAGAATGGCCTCCCAGGGGGGCCATTAAGAATTAAGACGAAAACGATGGAAGGGCTGCGGTATCGGTATGTTTTCTGGAGGAAGCAAACATGGCATAAGCATAATGTGAGATCCTCGCGGATCTCTTGGATCGGCGCTGGACCACGCACCCTTGCGCGAAGCGCGCCAGGTGCGGGGCTGGAGTCGCCGCACGGGAAGCCCAACGCCGATCCAAGAAATCCGCGCGGACCTCAGAGAAATTGTGTTGTCTTGCACTTTTCATTATTGAATGTCCCTCCTCTGATCCTGCGTTGACAAGACTGGGATTCGTGGGACCTGGTCTAATGATGCATACCGTGAGACGCCCCCCGCCCCATTCGACTGACCAGAACCACCGCCACCCGAAGAAACACCAGCTGCGGCAGACCTGGTTCAGCGTGTCTGGCGAACCTGGTTGGGCTTCGGGGCCCAATCACTTACCTGCTCCACTTACCCGATGCATCGCCAATGAATCGGCCATGCATCGACGATGTGTCTGCGACGTCGGCGATGCAGCGGCGACGTCCGCGTGGAGGTCGGGCTCCACATCAAGCCGCATCGCCAGTGAATCGGCGATGCGGCGCGATCCTCCGACCCCATCTGAACCCCATCTGGGAAGCCCGCCCGAGATGGCACGCCCGAAATGGGTACGGAGAGAATATGTACGATGCTCAACAGCAAGTCCAGAGTCGGCAGCGGCCACTGTTGGCCAGGCGACTTTGTGTCTTCAGTGGACAGAGCCCGCGGCGACACCGACAGCGAACCCTGCTCGAAATGACCGGGAACTGTTGTCGGTCTTCGTGTCCATTCGTTCCGTACCCATTTCGATAGTGCCGATCCTCCGAGCTCCCGCGCTGCACCGACGGCGGGCGCGGGCGGGCGTCACCACGTGCCGTTCTCGCGCAGGCGGGCCACGGCGGCCTGGAAGGCGGCCGCCCTCGGGGCGGGCTCGAACTCGAAGAGGTACGCCTTCGGCTCCGAGCCGCCGCCCCGCAGCAGGCCGCTCCGCCTTCAGCGGCAGCTCATGGGAGCCTCCCACCGACGCTAAATCTAGGCTGAATCGACTCTTCCGCCCTCGAGTTGTTGGGCGCCCGAGTTATCCGGGGTAACTCGGGTCCGGGGTAACTCGGGTTTGGATTCCCGGAAAAGGAACCCGAGTTAGCCCTGACCCGAGTTATCCCTGATGATTCGGGGCTCTGGACGCCCGAATTATCCGGGGTAACTCGGGTCCGGGGTAACTCGGGTTTGGATTCCCGGAAAACGAACCCGAGTTATCCCTGACCCGAGTTACCCCTGATGATTCGGGGCTCTGAAGTTGGCTCTTGCGGATCGACGCCAACCGACGCTAATCGACGCTAGATCGACGCTAGATCGACGATGAATCGACGTTAAGTCGGCGCTCACTCATCGAATCTCAGACGCTCGAACGCGCGAGTGCAATCTAAAGACGAAATTGCGAGGACACACAAGGCTCCCATGATTTGCTACCGAATCCGCCTGCGCCGCACCTGCAGGGACAGCACGCCCGCTTGCTCGAGTTCGCAGCTGTCTAGCTCGAGCTGGTCGGAGGCAGCGATGGGGGCGAAGAGCCCAGGGACCCAAGGCGGATTGGGAGGTAACTCCTGGAAGGTCTCCGCAAGAACGAGCAAAGACTATTGAGCCCGATGAAGAATCCATCCATTGAGCCAAATCAGCCCAAACGAAACCGACGACTAAATTGGGTCAAACCGGATTGATCGGGATTATGCGGGATTGTGCCGGATGAGGCTGCTTGCTTCGGCCACGGATTTGCCAACGCCGATGCTGAATCTAACGTCCCAAGAGTTGCATCCCAACGGGGAGCCACACATGCATCCAAAGGCGCCGATGGTCCGTGGCTGTGGCAAGGCTACCCGAGGGATCCGTGTGATGCCCGCCTTCCTGCGCGCCCTTCATGGCGTAGACTCTGTACGCCTGAGGCCTCCGCCCTGCTTTCCTCCTCTACGTTAGGTCGGGCATGTCCCCCATACAGGCGGATTATGGACAAGAATTAAAAAGACCCCAAACAAATACTCCAAACATGCTAAAAAAGAGGAACAAAATCGTCCCCAGATTATTCTTCTACTATTTTTGGATATTCCTCCTGTAGAGGGACAGGCCCGAAACTCTACGGCCGCCCTCCTCTTCTCCACCTGCCCCAATGTGCCCATGGCCTAGCGCGGGGCCCGCCGGCGATGTGAACGCGTGCCCAGAGGAGCTTTTTCTGGTTTTTGTTTTTCGGAAACAAGAAATTCTTATGTTTTGTGTTGAAAACAAGAAAACAAGAAATTTCGGATTTTCTTGTTTTGGGTGTTGAACACAAAAAATACATGACGTTCCCGATGTCAGGTGTTCCTCGTTAGGGTTGTGCCCGTTGAGCGTTTGGATTCACTCTGATGCTGTTGGATTGACGCTTTGCCCTTGTCGGGCGCGGTTGTGCGACTTGTTCGAGCCTTTGCCGAGGTACAACGGAGCACGTTCCTTTCGCGCTCTCATGAAAAATCAAAATAAGGCGAGGAGGAAGAAAGGAGGAGGAAGAATAACGTTGGGAGGAGGAGGGGAGGAGGAAGTGAAGGAGTAGGTGAAAAAGATAGGAACATGATGCAGGAGAGGGGAGAGTGGAGGGGGGACGAAACAGCATTGAGCAAGAGCAGTCTTGTCAGGCACTGCAAACATTCTCGCTTACATCCAGAAGCGCCCCCTCGAAGGACGAACGCCCCGTGGGCCTGGCATTGTTGAGGAATCACAGCCTTGCACAAGATCAGCCCTCCATCTGTGTAGCTGTTGCGCAATTGAACCCTGTCGAAATATATACACACTGGGGGGCGTCCCAATCGAGAGAACATTTTGAAAATGGATCGCCGTCCATCCGTATACTTAGTTTTAGGCGTCCGTCCCCTTCCCGTATTCCCGCCGCGTGCTGCTTTAATCCCCGCGTTCATGTTTACAGTGGCCCTCGTGCTCGATTATTACGGCCCCGCTTCCCGTTGAGTGTAATAATCTCGGACGCTCCGCTGCTGAACGCATCCACAGGAGGAGGGGGCGAGAAGATCATGAGGGCATGTTCGACACGGCAGTTCGCTAAAGCGTGACACTTAGCGCACACCGCCAGCATCCAAACAAACATCAGATGCGGCTCAAAGCGGTGCCACGTGACGGGCTGGCAAGGATTGGGGCAGTTTGCGGCTGGCAATCCGAAACATTGTTTGCCAGGGAAGTTATAATTACATGGGGAGAACGGGGGAGGTAGACAGAGGGAGAGAGAAGGAGAGACAGAGGAAGAGAGAGAGAGAGAGAGAGAGAGAGAGAACGAGAGAGATAGAGGGGGAGAGAGGGAAAAGGAGAGAGAGAGAGAGGGTGAGAGGGAGGGAAGGAGGGAAGGAGGGCGGGAAGGGTGTTAAGTAAAAGGACCGTGGGAGACGGTGACGCCTGGGAGCGAAGACGTTCCTGATGCATGTCCCCCTCCCCAACAGTTTTAGATCGCCCTCTGAAGACAATCTCGCGGCCTAGCCAATCATGGCCTCAAGCTCCTCGTCCGTGAGCGGGGCTACAGGCGTGGGCTGGGGTGCGGGGTCCCACGGACAATCCGAAATACGTTGTGGCTCTTGCACACCTTGGTGCTGCGCTAGCTCCACGCGTGGGCCATGCGGCCTCTGCATCTTAAGAGGGTGAAACGTGGGGAACAGCGAAGACGTTGTGAATCGCAATGAAGCCCATTGCTCCCCCCATCCACTAACTTGGTGAAGGATTAGGAGTGTTGGAGGGCGAGGGGCACGGGGGAGGCTGAGAGCGAATGAAGCGAGGACGAGGGAGGACGAATGGGAATGATAGGGGAGAGGTGGGAAAGAGGGATGGGATTGGTTGGCAGATACGGAGCGTAGTCGACCTTCATTGCGATTCACGCTGTGCCTGGTGCGCGCCACTGGGGACGCACGGAGCGAGATGCAATGGATGCGCGCTCAATCGGCCCTGCTTCATCGGGCTTGGGCTCGAAATACTCGGGATCCTCGGGGTCGACCTCCTCGTCCGAAGTGCTCTCGAGATCGAAATCTAACTCTGGCGGAGGTTCGGGCCCGCGCTCATCCGTGTCAGTCTTGACTGTATCGGGCTGCCTTGCGAGGAGGGGGCGTGTGACTTAGATTCACATATAAAGCACATGGGTTTCTCCTCCTCCCCTCGATCGCGCATTCATTGAATGCTCGATCGAGGGGAGGACGAGGAACCCATTTGCTTACAATGGGAACCCGAATCCACATGCCTGTTCGGGGTCGGCTCTGACTGCAGCTCGGGGCGAGTGGTCGGCTCTTGCTGTGGGCGAGGTTCGGGGCCCTCGCTGCTGCCAGGGCTGCTCTGCATGGCGCAATGCACGCGATCCGAGTGCTTATCGATGTTCTACCGTTCTCTCTGGACCGAGATGCTGGCAGAACTGACCCTGCATACCAGAGAGTCCCTCCTCCGCCCTTCCTTGTCCTCTCCCCTTCTGGGTCCTCATCCCACTTCCCTCTAGCGTTCCACCCCGCCCCTGATCCTTACTTGTTTCGTATGCCCCCCCCCCACTCCTCCATGCTCGAACTGTGTGTATATATTTATGTGTTGTTATTGCCAGCTATCGAAACCTAGCAGAAAACAACGATAGTCCCATAGAGCTTGTCCAAGTTCAAGCATCCCCGAGTTTACCATAATGTTGGTTTCCAAACATGTCTAAACAGCCGAAGCAATCGGCCCCAAAAACTTGCGTTGACCAAGTTAGCATTCTACGTGGGTAATACACCTAGCCCCATGAACCAGAAGCGTGCATGTGACTTGGCAACGCGAGCAGCGATCAAAGCAGATCTGCCAAACCATCGAACAATTCAATCGGCTAAGGCTCGCAATTGCTCGATATGCGATCTCGAGCATGACGCACTTCCACCGCAACAGCCCTACAGCACTGCAAATGCCGAGTTCTGCTGAACGATCGGGAGCAACCTGATGCGTTGGAAAATTGTCCTCTCCCATGTGCTGCGGTGAGAGGATGACGCAATGCCTGCCAATATCAAATTAAGAGACTCGTCGTGGAATGTAGAGTAGAATCTCGGGTTCCCTTTAGGCCCAACCAAAAGGGTCATATGCACGAACTGGTGCGATTTAGGCTGCTTACCCAGCCCAATCTCCCCCATGAGAGTCAGATGTCGCAGACACAGGTCTAACAGCTCGTGCCTAGTGTCAAACGGGACTGCCCTCGGTGAAACTCGAAGCAGGAGCATATACCGCACAAGGGATTCCCCTGCGGCATGCAGCACATCTGCCTCTGGAAACTTAGTTGCGAACGATCTGCAAAAGTCAACAGCCCACCTTACTAACACTCCTGTTTCCGCCCCCTTTGTCTTCAGGGTTGGTTTGTCTGCAGTAGAAATCATACCTGGCGTGAGGTCTCTCAATTGGTACGACAAGTCTATTGAGCTATCGGAACACCAGACCTTATAGTCGTTGAACAATCGCTTGCATGTAACTGCGATTATCACTTCACCTGGGCCATCTATGCCGAACGCATTACCTCGAATTGCTGACCAAATAACAGCGTGGACATATGACTGGCAAACCCCGAGATACAGGCAATGAAGGGTGTCCACGTGCATCATGTTTTCATCCGCACCCACAGATGGTGAAAACAAAGGGTTCCGATGGTGCACCCTGTCCGTTATTCTTCTCTTGGCGTCGAAGTTTTTCCCCCAGAAAACACACCAAAAAGGCAGCAGCTGCCTTGTGAACGCCCCCACGTCTTGCAGGCCCATGGACGGTTCTAGTCGGTCAAACCTTTTGAGGCCGAGTTCTGGGACGTCGCTGTCCAAGATGTACCCCCTGGGATTTTTTTTCCTATCGAAGTGAAGCTTCCCTTTCGTAAGGATGAGGTCTCGGGTGGTCTCGTCTATGACGTGGACATCCTTCTCGCACTGCAAGCACGCTTGGTTGTAGGAGACGGCGTGGTCACCCCAAGAGTGGCCCGCCAACGAGATGCCCGTGAACCTGGGTCAGGCAACAACACATTGTCACATACATCACTTGGCACATACTATAACGCTGGGCCTACCTACCTCGAGCTACCCGCACCCTACCCGTACCCTACCCGTGGCCTATCTTGCCCGTGGCCTACGATCTAGGGTGCGAGGATAAGAAAGATACACGTAGATACGAATGCTTGCGCAAATCGATGTGAACCGATTCCTCGTCATCCTCCCTCCTCGCTGTCCTCATACTCCTAAGTGCCCTCGTCACGTGCCCTGCTGTGTCCCATGTGTATGGTAAGCGTGGCGTCTTCGTTTTGTTTGGAGTGCGTGCGCGTGCGTGTCGTGGAGGTGTGCTGTTCGGGGCTGGAGAACCGCGCAAGCAAAAAACATATGTTCTGTTTGCCGCACCATTCCCCAAACAGCCCAAATCGCTATATTTAAGGCTTCCCGTCTCCAGCCATCGAGAGGTGTCTGGTAGGTTGTCTTTTCGAATTCCCGCAAGAACTGGTAGAGCGTGGACCTCGATGCTCGGCACCACAGGCAAGGAACATGATGTGCAGACCACGTAGGGAAACCAAGTAAATTACAATACGCCTCCCAGTCCCCCTTAATTTGGCACAGCACGAATCTAGCAGCCATCTGCGGCTCCCTGTTCACCAAATCCAACGACGCAGATCCATCAGGCCAGCGTGTCCCGTCCCATCGGACGCGAGGCCGCGAGCCAACGGTAGCTGCTGAAATCGACCATGCTATATAGTTATACACTGCCCATAGAGTACACCATCCATGGCATCCACAATGACAGAGATCCCGCTTAAGAACGATTGCGACAAGATGACGTTTCATAGTCTGGGCGTTATACACTGTGATGGCAACGAGCGTGTCTGCTCTAGGCCCGAGCGCACGGTTGAACTTTATGCCGTCCAAGTAAAGTGAGATCGGGAACACGTCCCGATTGTCCCCAGGTCGAACACGATGTGGATGTCGGGCCCAATCTTCTGTCCACTCAGGATCAGGCGGCTTAACCTCGATGCCACTACTTTCTTTCACCGCCTCGAGCTCCGCATTCAGCAGCTCGTGTGGTGGCGCAACCAGGATTGCCTTACTCGACCTCTGGTTCTTCCTCCAGCTCGGAACTTTCAAAACGTGGAGCTCGGGCGCTGATTCGCACTGCGGAAGGACGGTGTCCAAGTGTTTTTTATATGCCCCGTTCGATGTCTTCCCTGGCGCCACTGCGTATTTCTTAAGTCCCTCTCCAGCGGCGCCAGCCGCCTTACATAGGTGGCAAATTATACATAACGATTTGCAGTCTAGTTTGCCGAGTGCGAAAAGTGTCAGCAGAAACTCCTCAAGCTGTCCTCCAGCCTCGATTTTCTTATCTTCACAATCGTCGCCATCGAAACGTCGTTCCCAACTGTGTCGTTTGACAGGTCTGTGGGAGTCAGAGCTTCTGTACCTGCGCCGCTTCCGAAAAGACGGCATGCGGCTGGAGCCCAAACAGCTACGGATGTGGCTGGCACAGTCTATGTTCGTGTTGGGGGGGGGGGGCATCGGTGTGCAACGCTTACGATCTAATCGATCAAATGTTCGCACCCTTAAGAGTGCGAACATTTGATCGATTAGATCCTGGGAATTCCCTGGTGCTCCTCGCCTCGCGGGGAGATGCGCTGATGCACCACAAACGAATCAACCGCACCTAGCGAATTAGCCATGGCCACAAAAGCTGATGATGGCTGTCTATTTCTACAATCATCGATGCTCTGTAGACAAAACGATACTTGTTCACAGTCGTTTAATAGATTCACGTGATTGTTATCAATGTCATGTTATTGTTATATTTAGAACATCATGTAATATTCACGCCTCTCGTTCTGTTATCTTCGCACTCACCTGTACTTACCTGTGGCATTCGCACTCACATTCGCAATCTCTTGTTATCTTCACGCATCTCGTTCTTATCTTCATTATTATTGTCCCTGGCCCCTTTCTCCCTCCTCGTCCTCACCATCTCCCTCAATACTCCGAGCTTCCTCTGACCTGCACCCTGGTCGATCGTCGCGCTGGGGCCAGGCGATCTCGACCGTGGCTCGACAAGCACTGCTCCGCTCCGATTTCAGCCAGGGGCGAGGGGTTTTTGAGGGCACGGGCCTCCCACTGGGGCCTCATTTGGAACATCCTGGAACCAAAAAGGCCATCCATCCCTCCCTTTCCCCGCTTCTGCGCAACGTAACCGCCGCGCACTCGCCTCGCCAAGAGATTCAATGCGCTGCTATTCGCGCAGAATGGCCTTCTCCAGTCCGAGTTAACACATCAAAATCCAAAACGCTCGTCGAAGGGCGCGGGGTGAGTGGTGAGGGGGATGGAGAAAGCTCGCTCCCAAGCATTGGGAGCACGCATGTCCACGGCGGCGGACGCCGAGAGCAGAGGGCGAGTGGACGATGATCACTTCCAGAAGGATTGGTAGCATCATGAGTGTGAGCACTACAGCAAAGTGAGGGACAAGGTGGATGAGGTCGGCGTCGGTCGGAGTTTCCTCGAGCTACCCTAGGCTACCCGGCCCCTACCCGGCCCCTACCCGGCCCCTACCCGCCGCGCGGGCCTCCAGACAGTGAGGATGTATCGAGCGGGAGCCCTACCTACCTGGACCTACCCGTAGGCTACCCGTAGGCTACCCGTAGGCTACCCGTCGTTGTTTGAATTAGTCGTCGGAGGGTCCCACGGGCAAGTTCGGAATCAAAAGCGTCAATCGACCAGCAACATGTTTTCACACAGCGTCAAATCGCTCGATCTGAGTCGCTTGTGCCACCGAACGCGTGGTAAGCAGCATCAGTGGCAGTCGAAAGACTGCTCGAAACAAAGAGCCGAGCTCTCACGTGCGGGAAAACCCCCAAACGGCCTCCAGCCTAAGATACTTCTTATCCCATCCCCTCCCCCTTCCCTCCTCGATCTCCTCTCAAACCTCTCCTCCAAGCTTCGACCGTGGCCCGCACGTGCACTGCTGCAGGTATCTCCCCACGGCAGGCCGCAAAAGGCTGCCTCCCTCAGCAGCGAGCCGACCTCGACGTAGGTGTACCCGCCGTCGTTGTAGTTGAGGCCGTACTTGTACCGCTACTGGCTCGCCGACGCGGCCTCCTGATTCTCGACGTCGCGGATGCGCTGCTCGTGCTTCTGGACGTCCTCGAGCTTGGCATGGAGGTCGTTCAAGGTCGAGAGGTCCCTGTTCATGTCACTGTCCATGTCGACGCCCCAGTCCTCGCCATCCACGCACATCGCCACCAGATCCGCGTCGGCGTTGACAAAGGTGTCCACCTTGCGCAGCGCTTTCTCCAGCTTGCCCGCGAACATGTCGTTCTTCGCCCACTTGTAGGTCGCCTCGTCCTCGTTGATCTTTGCCAGGAGCCTGTTCCCCCGCAGCACCACCTGCCCGTAGAGCGCCGCCACCTCGCGCGAGCGCTTCTTGACAGACGCCTCCGTGACAACCCCCGCGGATCCTTTCTTCCCTTTCATCTTCGCCTTCGCCTTCGCCTTCGCTTTGCTCTTGCCATTCGGGCTGCCCTTCACCCTGCCGCGCTGCTGGTGGCCCTTCGCGCCGCCCTGATCCTTTGGGGGAGTGTCGATGGCTGCAGGATCCACCTTCGGCGGAGGCGTGATCTTCTCGGCGGCTGCAGCCGACTCACCGCTCCCCGACGCTGGCAGCTGCTCGACTGTGTGCACGCCGCTGCGCCTGTTGTGCTCCTCCGTGATCTGCTGCCACGTGTGGCGGTGGATCTTGGAGTCCTTGCGCTTCACGTGGCGGAAAATCAGCCTGCCGCTATCGGGGTCGATCTGGCACCTCCTTGGCCCACACTGGATGCACTTCTTGGCGATGTTCATGCATCCCTGCAGAACTGCCCGAGGATTGAGATTCGATTGAGCACCCTCCTCGACCAGCATCTTGTCGAAGTTCATCCACTCGCCGTGCGTCTCGTCAGACCAGACGGTCTCGATCAGCTTCGTCCTCGATTCCTGGGCTGGTTTTACGGTGCAGATAACCATCCTCGTTACTCGTCCTCATGCTCCTCCTTTATACTCATACGCACATAGGCCCTTCAATACATGTGTGTACAAGCATACATAGGAGTATGGTATATTGATCTGCCCGTGCATGTGTGGTTTCACATGCACGCACACACATATATACATATGTACACATATGTTTATACATATGTGCCCGCATCCAATCGATCCCCCGTCCCTCTGTATCTATATATACACATATAGATATATACGTGTTCGAAATCTGTACAATTCACCCCGCTATGTTCCCATAGAGTACCCCCTCCCCTCACACAGGTATCGACCCACTTTATATATCCCAAAGGCTCCTCGATATCCTTGAACTTCTTCTGCAACCACTCCTGGCGATGCTTGCGCTTGTCATCGAGCGCCTTCGCGTCGTAGGCCTCCTTCTCTTGCTTGTGCGCGCAGAGGTACAAGTAGAACCTCCTCCCCAATGCACTCTGCATGGGCACGTTGTGGAAGTTGGTCTTCGCGGCCTCGTCCATGTAGGGGTCGTCGAGCTCCTTCAGCTTAGTCAGCGTGGCTTCGTCCAAGCCGTCGAGCACGTCGCCGCCGTCCTTGTTGCCGCACTGCACGAAGAACTCCATCAGCTGCTTCTCGAAGCCTGGCTCACTCGGCTCAGCCTCGGGCTTTCGCGCACCGATCGGCGCGGGTTTGACGGGCCCTGGCCGCCCGAAAAGGCTTGAGACAATCACGAAACTATTGATCCACAGCCTGAGAAAAAGCCACCGACACTTACAGAAAACTGGCCCATGCTGTAACCCCATACTACTCTACCACTACCAAATCCCGAACGGTGCGATCGAGGGCACGGTTGTAGGATGAAGGGGCTCGGAAGGGAGTCAGGGAATTCGAAGACGAGCATGAGGAGGAACAATGAGCGGACTATGAGGAGTCGGATGGGGGGGGGCCAAAGGCGGTTGAGGGTTCTCGGGGCGCCGCTAAGCGATGCGCTCCCACAGTCACAGCGTTCAACTCCTTGCGCTGGCTAGAGAGCTCCTCTCCGAGCATCTGCTCCAGCGACTGGGGCTCTGCTTGGTGATCGCCATCTGCTGGATGATGCTGCGACAGTTGCAAGCCCTCCTGAGCAGGCGGGGCGCGAGCAAAGAAAAGAGCCAGACCCATGGGAGATAATTGAATGCACGGGGGAGGGAGGGAGGGCTAAGGTGGGAGGGATCATGAAGGAGAGAATCGAGGGGTGAGTCGGAGAAGTCACAGGCTTGGGAACGCCTCTGGTGCGCGGGCGGGGTGGGAGCTGTAATTAGGGCGAGGTCGGTGACGAGGGTGCACGTGTGAGAGTATGAGGGCTCCACTCTTTGCAATTTGCGGGCCAGAGTACTCTTCTTCCTGCAATTACAACTACACGTACTAGTACGATTATTGTTATTGTTATATTGTTCTTATTGCTACTACTATTACTACTACTACTACTACTACTACTACTACTACTACTACTACTACTACTACTACTACTACTACTACTACTACTACTACTACTACTGCTACTACTACTACTACTACTGCTACTGCTACTACTACTGCTACTACTACTACTACTACTACTACTACTACTACTACTACTACTACTACTACTACTACTACTACTACCACTCCGCTTACCGCAACAACTACGACTACAATTACTACTCCTTCTCTTCCTGCTACCCGCTTATGTGGCACCTTCAATCCCCCCTTCTCCATGCACGGGCCCCGTCCTCCCTCCTTCTCGTGTTTTACCTGACACGTTGAGTTTTTCTCCCCGCCCCTACACATCCCCCTTGGTTGGCTCGATGTTTTTTTCCTGTGGCACGCCCTAGTCTGAATCACTACCGATGGGCGGCGGTGGGATCGGCACGTGCGTGCTAGAAGCTGCACTGCCGCGCTTGGTCGGTGCCCTTGGCGGCGTCGCCACCTTGGGCGATTTAGGCGTGGGCTCTGCGTCGGGCGTCGCCCCAGCTGGGCGCCGCTTCAAGCTAGAGGCAGGGGGATCGGACTGTGCAGGCGCAGCCGCCGCGGGCCGCCTCATCTTCGCCACCCACGGCGCGTCCGCCTTGACTTGGAGCAGGTCTTTCTTGAGATTCCCCATCTTGACCTTGTCGATCTCCCCAGCGCAGAACCGCTTCGCTAGATCCGTGCACCAGTCCACTGCCTGGTCCTCCATCTGCGACTCCTCCTGGCAGTCGGCGGCCTCGAACACTTTGACGTTCACCTGCACCAACTGGGGCGTTATCCCACCGTCCCACTTTACCAGGCACAGGCGGTCGACTGGCTTACCCCTCGGCTTGTCGGTCCTCAGATCGACCCATACATTATTGCCTGACGTGTCTTGGCCCGTGAACATCTCTCGTTTGGTGTTGCCACTCTTAGCCTTGGCCTTGGCCTTGGGCTTGGTAGCAGCATCATCAGCTCGAGGTGCACTGCCACTGCCACCTGCGCCTCCAGCTGGCTGCGCGTTGCGCCAACTGGCAACCGTTATCTGCGGTATAGGTCGTACCGTGCCATCTTTAAAGACGGCGTTCATCGGATCTGTCAGCTTGGCCGACTCTGGCTCAACCATCTTGGTTGCCCATTCTGGATGGTCGCTGCGCTTGGCCGACGCTTTTGTACGATAGGCCAGCTCCATGTGGTGATCCCACTGGTAGATGTACTCGGACTTCTCCTCGGCTGCTCCACCGCTGCTGGCCGACCCCAGCGGCGCCTCAGACGCAGCTGGTTTCGCCATGCTCTTGCGCTTGCCGTGGCCGTTGGTATCGCCCTCCGCTTCCTCGGCATCTGTGTCCTCCGCCTCATCGGGCTCGTTCTCCTCCTCCTCCTCCCCCTCGTCTTCCTCGTCCTCGTCGGCATCCGACTCGTGGCCATCGCGCCCACCAGGTCTCTTTCTAGCTGTTGCTCCCGTCGGAGGCGTCCCGATGCCGAGCGCCACGTACCACTTGGGGGCCTCGTCTCTCGCCATCTTCGTCGTGTAGCTCTTGCAATGCTTGACCGCCGCCGAGAATCTGGCTGTCATCTCTTTGACCCAATCCTGATGCTCCCTAGCATTCTCGAACGTCAGCTTCGAATTGGTGGCGTCGGCAAGCGCGCTGAGAGACGCAATCCACGTCTTTCTCTTGATGTGGAGGGTGGGCTCAACCTATCGGAGAGAACGTCGCACCCCCATGGTATACTCTACAACTCTCAATCCATCTTCCTCCTCCTCCTCCTCCGATTTTTCTCTGGCCTGCCCTACATGTGATCGAAGCCTCTACGTCACCTTCGGTTGTCCATCCCCTCGTCTTCTCCTCGTTCGTTTCCCACCCCTCCACCCGTCCTCCTCATTATCGTCAGTGATTTCCCAATGTTGGTGCGACGTTTTCCCTCGGCACCTCGCCGATATCTTTGAGGAGATCCTTGTACTTCTCGATGGCATCACGCTGCACTCCAGAGTCGGCGTCGTATTTGAAGAAATTGTTTCTCGTGGCGTACTTTCTGATGGCGGCCGTCAATGTTCTCTCCGTCACCATTGGTGCAAGCGAAGTTGTTAAAATGCACAACTCCTTGAGCCAAAATGGTTACGGAAAGATGGGTAGTAATGATTCGGGCGTCGAGGGTCGGGGCCAGCAGGAGAAGGCATCACTATGTCTGGTCGGTTGAAGAGGGCGGGAGGGCACGGGAGGGCGATGAGAACATCTAGAAGACACAACCTGACCTATGCAAAGTTCACCGTGGGCAATTGCCCTCGCGATTCCGACGTCGTAAGTCCGGAGGACAGAAGAGCAGGAAGAGCAGGAGGAGGAGGAGGAGGAGGAGGAGGAGGAGGACCCCTCGAGGATAACAACGATACTTGTGACACTAGCTGGACTGAAAGGCTGAGGCGGCCGAGGATGAGGAATACGAGGCAGCAAGAAAAAGGTGGTTCCTGGTTGTCGGGGAACCTGGGGTCGAAGATGCCGCTCTCGCCGCCCGCTGCCGCCGCGCTGTCCCCGTAGCGCAACGTCTCGGCCTCCCGCCGCGTGTCGGCCTCCCGCCGCGTCTCGTACTCCCGCCGCGCCTGCTCGGGCAGCGCCGCATCGAGCTCCTCGGTAGTAGCGGCCACAGTCGGTGCCTTCATGGGGGCGGCCGCTCCCGTCGCCCCCCCTCGATCCCCCCTCGATGCATATATACATATCTTTTCCGCAGGGATATTCCCCTCAGCCTCGGACTCGTCACTGCTAATCACTTCGACTCCGTGCTCGCTCAACGTGCTGCCCATATCTCTGAATGTAAATGAGTCGCAAACGGTCCAGCTGTCGGCTACCTTCGGAAGGGGCTGGAATCTTAGATTTTTCGTGCCCGACCCCCTGACGATGCGAGCAGGCCACACGAAGGGAAAAAACTGATATGTGTTTTGAAACCTCCCGAAACCTACCCGAAACTTACTTCTCTCTTTTCCACCCCCTTTCGTCGATTCCATCCCTTCGACCTCTGCCATTGCGGCCGATCGTGGGCGTGCACCTCGAGGCCAGCGGGTACTTGAGCCTCGAGGCCAGCGGGTTGGCCGCCCCCTGATGCCTGGACGTTGGCGGCGCTAACCGAGCTGGGGCCCGAAAGGGGGAGCGAGAACATTGAAAGAACAGAAGGGGGTAGGGAGGGGTGGTCCAAATTTTTGACGTAAGTCACCTCGACTCCGCGCACCAATGGGGAACCAAAGTCATGAACAAACGCTTCATATCATACATATATATATATATATGTATATATGTTACGCTCACGCACGTCAGCGTGATAACCAGGCGTGTAAATTCTATTCGTGGCTGTATGTGTGTGCATATTGTGTATGTGAACTTATGAAATGCACGAGTGTAAGTACATCAGAATGTGTTTTTTCTTGACATTATATCGAACATCAATAGTATTTCTGGTTTCTTGTTTTTTGTTGTCAAAATGAGAATGTTTCTGGTTTCTATGTGTTTCTCGTTTTTTTTTGAGAAAAGGATCCTCTGGGTGAGCGACCGCTCCCGCTGCTGACCAAAAAATGTGCGATGCCCGCCAGCCTGGGGCCCTTCTGGGGGAAGCACAAGGTACCGATGCCGCTGCTCCCCGGACCTCTCCCGGAGTGCGCGTTGTGACCAGAATCTCGAGGCGTCTCCCGCGGTGGCGACGAGGGCCTCCAAGGAGGCCCAACGAGGCCGAAATCGAGGGAAAAGGGTAGCGGGACGTTCGCCCCCGTCGCGGCATCCGAGCTGGACGTCCACCCGGGTCTTCACCTTCTCGGAGGACCCCGGCGCGAAGATCTCGAGGTGCCCCCCCGTCAGGAGCAGGGTGCGGCGGTCGCCCCCGGCGAGCTCGCCCGCCCTCGTCCGGGTCACCTTGCGGACCTCCGCGCGCAGCTCCGCGACGGGCGCTTCCGCTGCAGCGGTCGCGTCTGCTACGGTTGCGTGGCAATCGACCCCTGAGCAGCAAAACAAGCCTGGGGGGAGGTTCAGGAGTTCGACCTCCTCCTGCTCCTCCTCGTCCCTCCTCGTCCCTCCTCGTTCCTCGTTCCTCGTTCCTCGTTCCTCGTTCCTCGTTCCTCGTTCCTCCTCCTCCTCCTCCTCCTCCCCTTTCTCTTTCTCCTCCTCTCAGCAGCACGGGCCCTGCGGAGGAGATCCCCTGCCCATCTTGGAGGGCAACTCTCTGCTGCCGCTACGTGCATTGAGAATTCATTAGGCGCCACGTCCTCACCGCAGAGCAGGAGAGGCTGGGGAGGGGCATGCCACTTCACGACAGACGCCTTCTCCGACGTATGGCCGCCCCGATCGCCGCGGCGACCTCCAAAACCGATCCAGAGGTTTGGCTCAGGGTCGGGTACCACGCAACGATGCTGGCGACCCCTCGACCTCTGCCGAGAAGGGGTTCCCCTCGACCTCTGCCGAGAAGGGGTTCGCCGACGTGGGCGAGAAGGGGTTGTCTGGCTCGGCGGCTGCCTCGTCGATGTCCTGGCCGTCGGAGTCCGACGCGGAGAACCCGCTCAGCTCTCCGGCGTACTCGGAGTCGAAGCCGAGCATGCCCAGGGGCCCGCGGTGCGCGGCGCCCATGTCACGCAGAGGCGGGATCTCCTGGAACGCCTTGTCCCCCACGCAGAGGCGGAACTGCGCAGACCCGAGGCAGTCCTGGGGAAACCAGCAGAGCTGCCGCCACCGCCACTCCTGGCGGACCTCTCCTGGGGTGCGTCCTGACCAGAACTTCGAAGCGACTCCAGAGGTGGCGACGAGGGCCTCCCAGGAGGCCCCAAAGGGGAAAACGAGGGAAGGGTAGCGGTATCGGTACCCATCGGTCGGAAGAAGTAGGTAGAACCATGAAGTAGGAAGGCGTTGCAAATAGATTGGGCTCCGCTCGCCCCTGACAGAGGACGGAAATGGTGAAACCACTCGATCATTGAAGTAGGAGGGCGCGTAAAGTGAATTGGAATCTGGGCATCCACACATACCTACTTTCAACGACCGACGGGTAACCTGCCTCGGGAGTCCTGCAGCTGGAGGCACGCGTCCCCCATGTTGTCGACGACGTGTGGCAGCCGCTCCGGGGCCGAGCGGCCCTTGAGCTCCTCCAGCGCCTGCAGCAGGCCGGCCGCGTGGCTCTCACGGCCCGTGACCGCGCGCGCGATGCACGCGTGGGCGCGGGAGCTCTGGCGCTCCGACGGCAGGGGCTTCTTCACCTTCTCGCCGCGGGCCTTGGCCAGCACGAGCTCGTGGTCCACGGCCTGATTCAGCTCGTCCAGCCGCGAGCGCAGCCTGCCCACCTTGTCCATCACAGCCTCCAGGCAGGGGTGCAGCCAGGGCGCCACGCGGATCATGCCGTAATCGCCGAGCCCGTCGCTTATCCTGGCGAACTGCGTGAGCACGTCCCCCAGCAGGTACATCAGGTCCAGCAGCCCCTCGCCCACGTCGAGGTAGCACTGACGCGCCGCCTGCGCCCTCGGCTCCCGGAACGCTCCGGCGAGGCCGCTCTTCTTGAAGTTGCCCTTCCCGAACTGCGCCGACACCTCCGCGAGGAGCCTTCGCACCTGGGCCGAGGGGCCGTCCTCCTCGCTGCGCGGCGCCGCGGCCTTGGAGCCGCCCTTGGCGGCCTTGGCCGCGGGCTCGCCAGAGCGGGCGGCACCTTTCGGGTCGGGCGAAAGGGGGGGATAGCAAAGGGGGGGTTTGAGAATCAGCTCACGTAGCTGATTTTCCCGGCGCCTCCCGGCGCCGGAGGCGGCTATGTATCGAGGAATGAGCCCCTCGGTGAGGCCGAAACCAGCTGCATGCAGCAAATTTCGTAACCCCCCCTTTCCCAATCCCCCCCTTTCGTCTGGCCCGAACCTTCGGGCCGCACCTCGTCGGCGGCGGAGCTGTCGAAGAGCCTGAGGGCCCACGGCGTGCACACCAGGGCGGCCACCAGCGAGCCGCAGAGCGTCTTCCAGGCGTCCCGCATCGCCTTCTGCAGCCTCTTGTCCGACCGGCTGGGCGAGAGGAAAAAAACAACTGCACAAGCACAAGCCCTCGACGGGGCGCGAAGATTTCTCGGATCTGCGCCGGAAGCACCCCTCCCTGGCGTTCGGCGGAGCGCGCCAGGGGCGGCGCCGAAGAGCCACCAGGAGAGGGGGGGTCAGCGCAGATCCAAGAAAACTGGGCGGACCGTGGAAAGTTTATGTCCATGCCATTTTTCTTTCCTCGATGGGCAGCGGGTTGAGTTCCATGGGGAGGGACGTCCACAGGACCACAACCTCCAGAGAGGGCAGCTCGTCCGTTTGCTTCAGGTCCGTGGCGGCCAGCAGCATGTAACCCGCGGCGTCCGAGACGAGGTTGCGGCTCAGCGTCAGCACCCTCGCCGCCAGCTCGGCGCACGTCCGGTCGTGCTCCAGCACGTCCCGCAGCTGCATCTGGAGGTGGTCGAAGACCTCCGCTAGCGTCCGCATGAAGCTGCGCGAGTTCCTGGACGGGAACAACTTGGGGTGGTTCAGGATGTCTCGGCACAGGCCGTTAATGCGCTTCACCTCGTCCTCCGCAAGGCTGGAGTCCACAGCGTGCGTGCGCAGCCAGCGCTTCAGCAGCTCCACCAGGCGCGTCCTGGGGTCCCTGGTGTAACTGCGAGACATGGTCATGATACCCTTGTTGGCTTTCCGATCTTTCTGGTAAATCAGAAGCACGTCCAGCGCCGCCACTAAGTGTGAGTGCTGATATCGGGATATGCCCCTCTCCGTGGTGGTCAACGCAAAGTCATCCGCGGTGCTGATGTCAACAAGCGAGGGATCGTAGGATAAGAAACGACTGCATACAAACTAACGCTCGGAGCTCCGCGCGGGTCTCTTGGATCGGCACCGGGCCCCCCTCCCTGGCGCCGGAGGCGCCGCCAAGGGGGGACCAGCACGGATCCGAGAAATCCGCGTGGAGCTCCGATGGTTTATGCTCGTGCCGTCTTTTGCTATCCGAGATCGGTGAGGTGCTTCGTCACGAGCGCCTGCAGGATCTCGAGCTGGTTCCTCTTCAGCGAGGAGGTGAACCAGCCCGAGGAAGGTTTCGAGGCCGCCGCCGCCGCCTCTGCACCCTCGGCCATATGGGCCGGCGGCCACGGCCGCCGCGCGGGGCGCCCCTTGGCGAGCCCGCGCACGAGTGGCACCAGACGAGGGAGACCCCGCCACACAAACAGACACATAGACACACACACACACATACACACACACACGCACGCATGAACACGCACACCCACCCGCGCACACGCACACACGCACACACGCACACACACGCAGACACACTGGCACACACGCGTACACGCATAAGCGCACACTCGCACACGCGCAGACGCGCAGACACGCAGACGCGCAGACGCGCCCACGCGCCCACGCGCCGACGCGCAGGCGCGCGACGCGCAGAAGCGCAGACGCGCAGACGCGCAGACGCGCCGACGCGCAGACGCGCCGACGTGCAGACGCGCCCACGCGCCGACGCACACACACACACACACAAGTACAAATCATTCGCCAAAAGCGCGTGGACTGAGAGGTCCTTGGTAACAGCAAGGCGTTCTTCTACCTTTTCAAGCAATGTTGATCTTGATAGTGGAAACGGTAAAACAGCCATTTGCCGAAACAGGACGAAACACAACCAAACAACGTTCAAGACGGCAGAATGGCAAAGCATATCAGCACGGCAGACGAGCAAAATAAATCAGCTCACGCACAGACTTTACACGTTCCAGACGTGCACCCTGCGAAGCGAGAGGAGACCGTGATGCCCACTGTGCTCCTGGACCAGACAAATCCGCTATCGTAACTACACCGCAGTCCTCAGAGCTGGCCTAGGCCACATTGCGTTGCCTACTTCGTTGTAAGCAACTCGTCCCACGTATAGTTACCTGCGCTAGATGCCGGCGCAAGCCGGTTCACGGGCGCTGTTGCCCAAAGGCTGTTCCAGTGCGTCCCCGCTCACATTCGGCGCACGTCGCTTTGGTAGCTTTGCCGTCAAGGAACTACCTCCATGCGACAGATTTCGAACGCAGTTCACTTCGCGTGGCCAGCATTGCTGCCAACAAGCCCGCTCCGCGCTTACCCGCTCGCACCATGCTCAGATACTTGTGTCAACTTGTTGCCAAGGAGCGCGTGCCCGCTCGCACCCGGTGCACATCATGTGATCGCTGCTGCCAAGAAGCTCACTCTGAAGGAACGAGAGCGTTACATCTCTAGGCTCACCACGACGAACACTACATCTCCAGAGCGTACATCTCACGAGTGCCGAGGAGAGAACGCCTGCGCGTCATCGGTTCTGTTCTGGCCGATGGGTGATGAGCACTTCTGGGGGGGCGCCAGCTCAGGGAGAAACATCGGACTGGAATCGGCAATACCTCGCCGATCGATCGCCGACTGGCCCCCGATGGCGGATCCACACGTTCCTGGGCAGGGTGGGGGTGGGCTGTCGGGCCCCTATCGGCGACACGTGGGCGACTGGGGATCGATGCATTCCCCCCTGAGCCTATACGCCCCGAAAGCTACCCCCGAATGGGCGGCCCCGCCATATCTTGGCGGCGCACACAAGGTGGTAGAGGGATTGGGGAAGGAGGCTGCTTCTTACAAGGCGTTGGGCCTGCGTCTATAGATAAGGCCCGCGCCTTTTAATAAGCAGGGATGCTTCCAAGAAGCCCTCCCCCCTCGCCCCAGCGCGTGGCTGCTTTTCCTCCGAAAAAGCCGTCGAGCGACAAGCACTCAATCGCTGCCTCCGCGGGAAACGGCGGCGCCACCGCGCCCGAGGCCCGTGCGGCGCGGCGCCAGGCTGCGCCGGGCGCAGCGTTCTGCGCGCTGAACCTGGCCGCGCTCGCGTGGCTGGCAAGTGGCGGCCATGCTTCGGGTCGGGCGAAAGGGGGGGATAGCAAAGGGGGGGTTTGAGAATCAGCTCACGTAGCTGATTTTCCCGGCGCCTCCCGGCGCTGGAGGCGGCTATGTATCGAGGAATGGGCCCCTCTGTGGGGCCGAAACCAGCTGCATGCAGCAAATTTCGTAACCCCCCCTTTCCCAATCCCCCCCTTTCGTCCGGCCCGAATGCTGCGCGAGTCAAGGGCTGGCGCAGGGCGGATTCGGCGCGTCGCCCAGCCAAGTCCAACCTGGCAGGGCAGACTGGTGCACCGCGCCGGTGACTCCCCGTGCCACCCCCTCCTCCCCTCTGCCCCCGTGCCTTCTCTCATGCCCTCTGCCCCTCCCGGGGCTCACCTACCCCAGCCCACCCCCCCCAACAGGGTGGGCCTGCTGAGTATCGTTTAACCGATCCCCATCTCATCTCCAGCGGCGTGGCCTGGGCCCCACTGGCCGATTTATCCCCCTAGATGGGGATATAGGTCGGTCTCTTTTGGTTTCGAGGAGTGTCTCCCCAACTGGGGTGGTAATTTGGTGGGGGTCTCGAAGAGGCTGGAGATGGGGATCGGTTAAACGATACCGACCTGCCTTGATTGCCGCCCGTCGCAAGCGGGTCCCAACTCATGCAGACGCCGGCCGGGCTGCGGGAGGGACGCGCCGGGAACGCCTTGGGGCACAGAGAGCGGAGAGGGACGCAGGAAAAGGTGAGCAGAGGCGGGATACACGCAATTCAGCAATCCAAACACGCAGTTCCTAGGCCTGCACTGGCTTGGAATGTCCCCCTCTCTCCTGCCCTCCCGGCCGCGCTCCGCTTCCTCCGAACTCCCTCCGAGCCACCTCTTTTTTTTTCTCCACGTGCCCGTGCGCCCCCTCTCCACTGGATCGCCCTTCCTCTTCTTCTCACCACTGTTTCCTCTCCCCTTCCTCCCCTCCACCCCCTCCGCCGTCCCTTGTCTTCACCCCCGCCGATCACGCTGATTCGACCCACCCGTCAGCTACGCCCGCGCGCACTGGCCTTCCAGAGCGGGCTCGACAGACCAGCTCGACGGAGCACGCTGCCGCCCTTCGGCCAGCAGGCCGTTGCGGGTGGTGCCAGGAGGCCGATGGCGGCAGGCAACAACGGGTGCCGGCAGGTCGACACCAGTAGACGCCTCTCGACGTCTCACACTCCTTGTCCTCCTCCTCCTCCCCTCTTCCTCCCCCTCCTCCTCCTCCTCCTCCTCCTCCTTCTCCTCCCAACCTCTTCCTCCCCTTCCTCCTCCTCCTCCTCCTCCTCCTTCTCCTCCTCCCCCTCCTCCTCCTCCTCCTCCACCAGTTGGAGGAACTGGGTATTCGGGGATGGTCAGATCCCCCTTTAGTAAAACGTGGTCTAGTGAAAACGACCTGAGGCCCAAACCTGGCGGGCGCGAGCCTGGAAAATAACGGCCGCGGCGCCCTCTCGAGAATCGAAAACGGACAATTCACTGATCGACGTGTCACTGTTGGGGGTCCTGTCCACCCCCGAGGTATATACATGGAGTAGGAATGCGTTGAAAGCAGATTGGGAACCCGCCCGCCTTCTGAACATGGAAGAAGAACAACCGCTCGAGATTGAAATCCGCCGACCCTGCCGACGTGTGTGAAACGTGTTTTCGTTTGAGTCGCCGTCGCCGTCGCCGTCGCCACTCCCCCCTTTCCTTTGGCCATCCCCCTCAACAGATCTAGCCAAACAGAAATCCAACAACTTTGTAATTGAGTCGAAGGGAAGCCCCTTCCCGTCGATCCCTTGGGGTCTCGGGGAGGGGTCACCGCCGGGGGTGTTCCGAGGTCGTGACCCCCCTTCCCCAGGGGGCGCCATCCCTGTGGACAGGGGGAACTCAAGACTCCAGCCTCCTCCCGATCCCTTCCCCACCGGCCCCCCCCTTGTGGAGAAGGGTGAACAAGCGGTGGCCCTCCCTGCGGACAGGGGGCAATGAATGCCCCCCCCCCCCCTCCCGCCCCTTGGCCCCCCCCTGTGGACAGGGGGACAAGTCGGGGATCTTCTGACCCGGGTCAATCCAGACCCGGGTCAGCAGGAAACCAAAAACTGCAATGCAGGGACAAAAAACTGCAACGCAGGTCCTCGCAAACCCGGGTCAGCCAATAGGCGCGGCCGCCTCGCGGCCACGAACGGCTCCCTAACCCGGGTCAGCCAGAGGGGGTCTTCGCAGGATCCTGCAGGATCCGGCGCCGTGGCTAACCCCCGTTTGCATTGACCCCCGTCTCAAGGCTCCCGAACAAGGAGGGAGTCCCCCCGGTGGACAGGGATCATTCAACGCCTCGTCTCCTTCCCCCGGCCCTCCCCCTCCCGGTCCCCCCCGTGGACAAAGGAAACTCATGACCTTCCCCCCCGCCCCCCTCCGTGGGGACAACGGGGCCCCACCACCATCACCCTCCTCCCAAGGGCTCCTAAGTTCGCGCTTCGCGCTGCGCGAAGCGCGAATAACTTCGCGCTCTCGCGCCGCCCTCCCAAAGGGAGAATAGGAGGACGAGGAGGAGGGGGAGAAGGAACGAGGACCGCGAAGCGCGAATAACTTCGCGCCCTCGAGGGAGCCCTTGCCTCCCGGCCCCCCCACCCCCCAGAGGCACCTTCCTCACTTTTACCTGCTGTTGCGGGGCGCCGCGCACTTTCCCACATGCCTCCAAGCAGGCCTGAGATCTGCCATTGGGGTGGCTCCACGTGACCACGGGGCTTCCCCAACGAGGCACAAGAGGCCCCCGAAAAGTCCCAAAGAAGGGTTCGACATCATCCGCGCCGTCGTCGTCGCCGCGGCCGCCGCCGCCGTCCCCACTCAGAGTCGGCGGCACGGGATGTAGCGCGTTCTCAATAGGGAAACGCCGTAAGCTCAATAGGGGATCTGGAAAGCCAGCAACAAATCCTTCACAATGCTGATACCGCTTCTGCTGCTGACGGTGATGGTGACGACGACGACGACGACGACCATGACGATGGTGATGATGGTGATGACGATGCGGATGACGATGATGATGACGATGATGATGATGATGGTGATGATGATGAAGATGATGATGATGATGATGATGATGATGATGATGATGATGATGATGATGATGATGATGATGATGATGATGATGATGATGATGATGATGATGGTGGTGGTGTTGATGATGAGGAGGATTTTGTATCCCGACCCTGCCGCGTCTGTGGCCAATGGTCCGTGGTCCGTGGGGGCCTAGGTGAGGACGCCCACAGGTACCCATACCGCTACTCCCCGGACCTCTCCCAGGGTGAGTTCTGACCAGGACTTCGAGGCGAATCCAGCGGTGGCGACGAGAGTCTCCCAGTAGGCCTAAAAAGGGTAGAACGGCCGAAGGGTAGAGGTATGGGTATCTTTTCCTCCTCTGACTAGGTGGGGCACCTCCCCTGCGTTCCTTGGGCTCCGAAGGCCCCCGGCCCTCTCGGCCGACGGCGCCGCGGAACAGGTGGCAAAGGCCAGAGTCTCCGACGAGAGTGAAGGGGCCCCAGGACACACAAATAAATACACACAAATAAAAAGATTCCCCATATTTTCCCATATTTTCTGGGTTTCTGTCTTCCCCCCCACTTCCCATGTTTTCCCATATTTTCCTGGGAGTGGCCGATTAATTGTGTCTGTGTGTTTTTTCCCCTCCTGAGAGAGACTGAGCTGGAAGTCGGTGCGCCGGAAGCCCAGGAGCTCTGCCGCTCAATGATCCGCAGGCCGTCGCCCAGGAGGCGTGAAATCAGTGCACCCGTTCACCGTGAGCTCGTCCTTGCGGTCAGCAGTCGCGCGATGCAACGACGCCCGCGCCTCGCCGCGCAGGATCAACGAACTCAGGGCCACCAGGCCCCGGAGGTCAGCGAGGGCAGCTCCGCAATGAAGGCCGGCACGAACAGCTTTGTCATGAAACTCGGCATGAACAGCTCCATCCTTCACGGCATCAACAACGACACCACGAACGGCACAACAAGTTGTTGCAGGAATGAAGGTACGGCCAGCCTCATCTCGAACGACACGACCGACTCCATCACGATCGCGCGAAAAGCTCCATCATGATGCTCGGCAAGAACAGCTCATCACGAACGCCACAAGTAGTGCCATCGCGAAATGGCACGAGCATCTTCATCAGACAGATCGGCACGAACAGCTTCATCTCGAACGGCGCGAAGAGCGCCATCACGATCGGCGCGAAAGCTTCATCGCGAGCAGCGTCATGAGAAAGGGCACGAACAGCTTCATCGCCATGAAACTCGGCACGGCCAGATTCATCGCGAGCAATTGCCTCGAAAGGTCGGTACGAACAATTCCACAATGACGGTCGGCACGACCAGCTTTACCACGAACGGTACGGACAGCTACATCACGACCAACGTCATCCCGAAAGGGACGATCAGCCCCGGCACAACCGACACGACCAATTTCATCTTGAAACTCCGCACGAACAACTCCATCCCGCACGGCATGAACAACTTCATCACTATAGGCAAACACGGCCCCACTAAGAATATATGAACGACCATCCGAATCCCGAACGACATAATCAGCTCCATCAGGATCGGCACGAACAGCTTCATCTCGAACGGCGTGAAGAGCGCCATCACGATCGGCGCGAAAGCTTCATCACGAGCAGCGTCGTGAGAAATGGCAGTCGGGATCCCGGGGGGGGGAAAAGGGGGGGCTCATCATTTGTTGAACCGGTTTTGGGCATTATATGAACGACCATCAGAATCCCGGACGACATAATCAGCTCCACCAGGATCGGCACGACCAGCTTCATCATGATGCTCGGCGCGAACAACTTCATCGCGCACGGCATGAAATGCTGCACCAAGGCCGGCGAGCACAGCTTCGCCAGGAAGGCTGGCACGACCAGCTCCATCTGGGAAGGTGAGTTTCGGGATGCGCGGGATCTCGGCATGGTGGCGAGGAGTCTTCCGAGGATGAAATACAGCACCTCCGACAGCGGCAGGACTTCCAGTATAAGGAGCCCCACGCACATCACCGCCAGACCATGGATCACTCTGGCCGTCATGCCATGGATCACGCCGTCATCGTGACGGCCATCTCCGTGATCATCCTGGCCAATTCCGCCATCACCGTTGAGATGCCCAAGTGCGACTCTCCAGCCAACGTCGCGTGACAGTGATCAACGACCACCGCGTCAGGGAGAGCTTCAAGAAGGGTCTGCACGATCATGACCGACCGCCTGGCAATTGAGCATGGCCCCGTCCCCCTTCGGCATCATGATCAACTGGACGATGACTCGATCGCAGGTGGGTGTTCAGCCGCACGCGGCAATGACGCTCTGTTGCCACTTGGTCAACCAGTCAAGCAAATCGGGAGGCGGAGAACATCGGCCGCGAGCGGGGGTCGGGCCCGCGCAGGGGAGGCGGAGGAGTTGGAGGAGGAGTTGGAGGAGGAGGAGGGGGAGGAGGAGGAGGTGGAGGAGGAGGAGGTGGTGGAGGAGGAAAAGGAAGGCGAAGAGCAGGAAGAGGGGCCGCACGCGCAGCCCAGGGGCCCCTGAGATCAGCAAGCGTCACACTCACAATGGCTATGGCGATGACGATGACGATGGTGATGGTACTGCTGCTGCTGATGACCATGATGTTGTTGATGACGATGATGATGATGATGCTGATGATGATGATGATGTTGATGGTGCCGAGGATGATAATAGTGATGCTAGGGTTGATGCTGATGAGGAGGATGAGGATGATGATGAGACTGATGGCAATTACGTTGTCGATGGTAACTCTACAATCCCCCCGGACTTTGTGAGATCGCGTGGGCGCATCACAGGGAGCGGATAGGACGGCGACGCAAAGGACGGGATGGAAAAAGGAATGGTTTTCAACAGGACACCACACAGAGGACTATGGCAGGATGGACGAAGACGAGGAAGTGGGGGCAGCAGGATAAGCAGATGAGGGGAAGGGGGAAGTGCAGACGACCAGAGGACTGGCCAGATGCCCGCCCTGGCTCTGGCCACGAGGGGCGCAAATGGGAGGCAGAGGGGGAGGAGGACGAAAAGGATGAGGAGGAGGAGGATGGGGAGGAGGACCACGTGCAAACCCAAGACGCATCAACGATGTTGGAAACAACCCTCCCTGTAAGTTCACTCTTCAGAGGCCCCTGCCAATATTCATTTCCGCGTGAGGGAATGCCCCGTTGGGGGGCAACCGATTGAAGATCCTGAAACGCGCCAGCGCGCCAATCCATACTCATTCCAAACCATGCATCCTTTTGGTACGGTAACCATGGGAGTCCGCGAAGCTCTTGCAAACGTTCAGGAGGGCCCCAACATGGGCCAAGAGGGCCTCAGGTCGCCGAACGATCGCTACAAGACGCGCAGGATGTCCTCAATCCGGTTCCAGAAGCCTCCAAGATGCCCTCAGAAGCCCTGGAAAAAAACAACCTCCCAAAGAAGACCCCCCAAAACAACAAATGTCACATTTTCCTAAGGAGAACGAAACATCTGAGCGCATTCGCCTATTGGGCCTTCAGAGCGTCGCGGACGCCCAAGAAAACCCCAAAACGGCCTAAGAACCCGCCAAGGGGGCTCCAAAACGGCCCAAGAATGGCCCAACATGGCCCAGGAGGCCCCCTGAAAAGGCCCAAGAGGGCCCCAGCACGGGCCCGAGAGGCGCTTGAGAGGGTGCCAAGACGGCGGACAAAAATAACGAAAACGGCCCCAAAAAAGTCCCCAGCAGGCCCCCAAATGCCCCCAAGAGGCTCCCAGACGCTTCCAACTGGCCCCGAAGAGACCCCCTGACCCCCCCTGAAAGCCCCCACGAGTCTCGAATAATGCATCCAACGCGCTTTTGGGGGTCTCCAAACTGCCTCCAAGATTCCCCCCGGGAAGCCCAAAACTGGCCCCAATGCTTCCAACACGCTTACGTCTGAACACAAGCGCTGCAATACAACAATTTCTTCCACGCTTTCACAAATTCTCTCGTCTTCGGTGTCCTTCACATCCATGATCTCAGAAGGGCCCGCAGAGGACCGCGCGAAAGCGCAACACCATGGTTCCCAGCAGAGACCGGATATGCACAACGCTCCACAAACAACTGTGACGCAGACAGCTCTAGCACGAAGCTTTTCAAAGAGCGCACCAAATCGGCGAGGTGTCAACCCAAAGAGGGCCAACACCTGGCCCCAAAGAGGCTTTCCAACAACCGCCGAACATCTCCAACAATCGCCGAAAATCTCCTAATCCTCGCCATGTTCCTCCTGTTCCTCCTCTTCCTCTTCCACTTCCAGCTAACTCCAGCTCCCTCCTGCTCCTCCTCATCCTCAGCATCCTGCTACTCCTGCCCCTCCCCCCCCACCCGCCTCCACCTCATCATGATCCTCCTCCTCCTCCTCCTCATGCTACTCCGTTGCCCCCGTTCCCAATCCTCATCATCATCCTCACCGCTCGCCGTCGTCGCCGGTCATGACCGACATCGTGCGCTCCCGGCAACAACGGAAGCGTCCCGGATCGGCAGCACTGGCCGGAGGCCACTACAAGAACCGCCCGCAATCCGTGAACCTCTTGCAACCTTGCGCCGCCAGGCGCTCAGACGTCAACAACATTTTGAAAATCGCCCGCCCTCAAACAACAGTGAAACTCTTGCAAATGTTTGAAATTAGTGGGCACGGCGCTGAAGCGAGAACCGCATTTTAAAGACGACCCGACCTCAATCCGTGAAACTCTTGCAGTTCGTTGTAAGGAGTGTGGCGAACTGCTAAAGCTTCAATATCGAAAAACGGTAATGATAACTCAGACGAAACGCCCGGTCTGCCCTGCCGACTGGGTTCGGGGTGCGACAGGGAGAAGGTATGAACAAGGAAAGAATAGAGGAGGAGGAGGAGGAGGAGGAGGAGGAGAAGCCTCCTCATCTTCCTCCGCACCAGGGAACGCTCAGGGCCCCGTACGCGGGAACTTTCGTGAAGCAAGACGTTGACAAAACTGTTGACAAAACCAAGGAAGCTGCAAACCGTTGGCCGGGACATTCTGCATTCTCCGCTGCCTCCCCCTGGATCTTGCAGAACCATGGTGTGCAACATCCCTGGCTTACGGGGCTCTGGAGCGCAGTCCTGCAAACAAGACCCGATGGGGCAGGCTCGCTCGCGGGGGCCCGGGGCGGCGCAGAAGTAAAGTCGGCACGGAATGCTGGCGTGCCTTGAAACGCACTGCCCCAACACCAGTACGCGAGAGGATTGGAACGGTGCCACTGGGCTTTGGCAGAAGGCTGGGCGGCGTATGAACGCTACCTGGTGGCTTTCACGTCGAAGGCCTCCGGGTCCACATCCCGTTGTGACGGCTCAGCAAACTCGGATCTCTACTCGGTAATGTACAAGCAATGAGCTGGGCGGAAAGGCACACACAAACAATACAATGCCAACGATCTCGCCGAAATGCAACATCACGATACTTCTTGTTCTTTTGATTGATTCAGTTTTTTGTGTTGTGCGGTTGGTTTTGCTCGTGTTTCGTTCACGTGTCGCGTTTCGCTCACGTCCACCATCCCCACTTCTCCGACTCCAGCTCCTCTTTCCCCATTCACATTCACTCCTGCTCCCTTTTCCTCTCCACTTTCCACCTTCCCTGTCCTCCTCCCCCTCATCCTCCCTCCCCACTCACTCACTATGAGCACTTCCTTCTCCCCTGACCCTGTGCGGAAAATGCCCCGCGCTCTTCGCGTATGTCTATTGAACAGCAGAGTTCAGTAGTGGGTATTCTTTGTTGTTCCAAATCGGAACGCTCGCGTTGTTTCAGAAAACTGCCTTATCGCTGCAACGTCGGCCTCATTTTAGGATCGGAGCTTGGCTCCCGCCGTTCAGAATGGCGCTCTCGCCGAAGTGCGGGACACTTGTCTGGATCCGAGTTTTCCTCATCGCTCTCGCCCCCCTTCCCTTCCCATCTTCGAAATTCCCCTGGTCCTCCTGTTCCTCCCGCTCCTTCCTCTCCACATCCGACTGTTGCTGTTCGTCCTCGGCCTCGTCCCCCTTCCTCCTCCTCCTCCTTCTCCTCCTCCTCCTCCTTCTCCTTCTCCTTATCATGTTCCCCCTGCTCATCCTCCGCTCATCTGCCACATCCTCCCCCTCCGTCTCCGAAGTACGCAACTCCCATGTCCTGATTGCTCATAACACGATGGGGTCCTTCTGGGAATTCGAGGTCCGCTATGACACGCTTCGGCGGGAGATTGACAAATTAGCGTTGTTTGAGGGGACGGGTGGGAAGGGTCGGATGTCAGATCTGGCGAGAACGCACTTAGGCCATCCTTTCTTCTCGCCTTGCTCGCCGTGTCTCATCCTTCTCCTCTGCCTTCCTCCTCCTCCTCCTCCTCCTCCTACTCCTCCTTCGCCTTCTCCTTCTCCGTCCGTGGCCTCGTTGGCTCAAACCGTTTGCGCTCGAGTAGCTTTGCTGGCATCACTCTTCAACACGACACCTGGTGTCAGCGGGCCGATCTGAACGTTTCGTTCCACTTTCATGTCTCGCCATGGCGGCGGCGGCAAGGGTGGCGGCAAAAGCCATGGGGGGTGATCCCCGCGTCGTAGCCCCCCTCCGCCGTTGCGCAAGGCTCAGTCGCAGCACTACGGCGGCCATTTCGGGTTCGGCAGCAAGCGTGGGCAGCAGTCAGCATCCCCCGACCGCTGAAGTGCGTGCTGTGCGGGTGCGGCAAGACTCCGATCACGCCTACATTCTGCGAGCACTGCGGCGCGGAACGACAAGCACCTGCGTCAGCTCAGCCGCCCCGTCCTCGCGGTGGGTGACCTCCTGGACGCATCGCCCCTGGTGTGTGGTAAGCCCTCTTCTCCTAGCCTCTTCGTGGGCAACCTGTGTCTCCTGGATTCGGGTCGGGCGAAAGGGGGGGATAGCAAAGGGGGGGTTTGAGAATCAGCTCACGTAGCTGATTTTCCCGGCGCCTCCCGGCGCCGGAGGCGGCTATGCATCGAGGAATGGGCCCCTCGGTGAGGCCGAAACCAGCTGCATGCAGCAAATTTCGTAACCCCCCCTTTCCCAATCCCCCCGTTTCGCCCGACCCGATGGATGCATCGCCCCTGATTCGGGGATGGACAGACCCCCCTTTAGCAAAACGTGGTTTAGTGAAAACGACCCGAGGCCCAAACCTGGCGGGCGCAGGCCTGGAAAATAACGGCCACGGCGCCCTCTCGAGAACCGAAAATGGACAATTCGCTAATCGACGTGTCACTGTTGGGGGTTCTGTCCGCCCCCGACCCGATGGATGCCTCGCCCCTGGTGTGTGGCAGGCCCTCCCGTCCGGTCCTCCGCCGCTCGCGCGTCGGGGCGCCGACGCGGGGCCGCCTGCCTCTGCGTCGGGGCCGCTGGGGCCCACCGAGCTGCACATGCTCGTCTCCCCTGCCCAGCGCGGCGGCGACGGAACAACGGCTCAGAAGTACAAGTCCAATACCTAGAGGGCAGAAGATCCACCCCTACAATAATCACCCCGACATGCGAAACCGTTTAGTGAACGCACCCAAGGAAGGAATCGACTAGGGACTAGGGGCACGGCTGTTCAGCCCAAGGCCGTTTAGTAAACGTCCATTGTCGGGTCTGAGTGCTTTTCCTCCCTGGCGTATCGACGCTCTCACGGCCACGGCGAAACCTCATCCCAAATATCTTCACGATCACGGTTCGGATTTGCACCGCGAGATTGCGGAGCTGGACAAGAAGAAGGAAGGAGAGCTTGCCAAGTACAGTGGATGGGTGGACGGAGTTCGGAGGCAGGATATCTAAGTATCTACCTCAATAATCTCTCGACCGAATCCAAGTCCCTCATGGAACAGCATCGTGCTCTGGTGGCCGAACTGCACACACCGGTCGTGCCGGTCGAGTCCGCTGCTCTAGCTCCTGCCGCGGCTGGACCAGTCTTCTCACTGCGCGGCCTGGTGGCGGGCAAAGGTGCCTAGCGGAGCGGGGCTCGAGCAAGCCAACGTCGACGAATTCGCTACGCGCCGCACCCAATTCAAGGAGCACATCGCCAACGCCGCCGAGCAACTCTTCGAGGGTGCCCTTGAGCGAGAGGGGGGCAATCAAGAAGGAGCACGAGATCTACCTCCAGCGCATCGCGGGCAAACGTCGGCAGGGCATTGACGGCGAAGCTCGCGTTGGCGCCGGAGGTTCGGCTGGCAGCGGCGAAGCTTGAGGTGCCGAGCCTGCCGCGCCTGCCGCGCCTGGAGGTGCTGCTGATGCAGCGGGCGGGGTCAGCGAGACGGCAGCAGCTGAAGGCTCTTCGGCCGACCGTGTTCGCGAGGCAGACGCTGCCGTCGCTCACCGTGTCCCGTCGCAGGCGGAAGGAGTTGCGCGCGGACCCGAACAGGCGGCCCCCCCTGGCCGTATCGGTGCAGAGGGGGTGGTGGCCATCATCGTCACCTGAACTCCGACGGACATGGCATTCATGTTTTTTTTGTTGTGGTCTGGGAGCTCCTGGACCTTTCCTCCTGCCCGCGACTTGCCTCCTTCGCCATCGGAAATTTAAGCCTCCGAGCGCCGCGGTTCGGGAGTGGATTATTTCCCCGCCCCGTGACGATCTTTCGTGCTCTGACTCAAAGGCAGGGCGCATCAGTCATCGGTGCTCCTCCCTCCCTCCCTCCCTCCCTCCTCCCCCCGTCCCTGCGCGTGTCGCCTCCCTCTCCGCCCTTGGTGCCAGACGAGGGCCCTCCAGGGGCGCAACCAAGGCACAGAAGACTGCCCCTCCTCCTCCTCCTCCTCCTCCTCCTCCTCCTCCTCGGCCCCGCGCCCGGCGCCCTCCTCTGCGCCACTTGTGCCAGACGAGGACCCTCCAGGGGGCCCCGGCCCCCCGGCAGGGCGAAGGCGAAGGCTGCCCCAACTCCCAGCTCCGGCCCCTCTTCTCCCCCGTGCCCGCCGCCTCCTACAGGTATGCCGTCGCTGCGGAGGTACCCCTCTGCGGGCACCGCAGCTGAGCAGTAAGTTGAAATGCGCTTCAAAGCGTGCTGCTGCGGGCTAGAGACGGGCGAGCCGGCGGATGCTGGCAGCGCGCAAGAGGGGGGCGCGACGAGGGCGGCGGCCTTCGGAGGCGGGGGGCCCTTAGAAGGCAGGGGCCCTCTCACAGAGGCCCCGGGGGCTCCCGAGAAGGCCGAGGGGCCCGGAGGACTCTTCCGAGGCCCGCTGCCGTGCAAGAAGCCCCCCCGCCATCGCAGAAAGCCGCCCCCCCCCCTCGCGCCGCCTCCCTGCGCGGCGGGCTGCCCGTCGCTTGTCGGGCCAGGCCGCCGACTTCCTGAGGAGGAGCAGGCAGCGCAGGCCCTGCGCGGCGAGCTGGAGTGGCGCACGCAGACATTCGCGGACGATCCGGCGACGCTGGCTGCAGGGACGCGCCGCCAACGAGCCGGCCGCGCGCAAGGGCCACCCTGCAGCAGGCGGGAAACGGGTCCCGATGGAAACGGCCCTGAGCCCCGGGGCCTTCCCCCAGGACGAGGAGGAGGAGGAGGGAGGAGGGAGGAGGAGGAGGAGGAGGAGGAGGAGGAGGAGGAGGAGGAGGAGGAGGAGGAGGAGAAGAGGAGGAGGAGGAGGAGGAGGAGGAGGAGGAAGGAGGAGAGGAGGAGGAGGAGGAGGAGGAGGAGGGAGGAGGGAGGAGGGAGGAGGGAGGGAGTGGAGGGAGGAGAGGAGGAGGGAGGTTTTCCTCGCAGCCCCGGGCCCGCGGAGGCCCCGAGAGCCCGAGACCGGCGACAAAACCTCGGGACCCGGTTCCCCCAGGACCCTCCCTCCTCCCTTCCCCTCCTCCCTCCTCCCCTCCTCCCTCCTCCCTCCCCCTCCTCCCTCCTCCCTCCCCTCCTCCCTCCTCCCTCCTCCCTCCTCCTCCTCCCTCCTCCCTCCTCCCTCCTCCTCCTCCCTCCTCCCTCCTCCTTTCCTCCCTCCTCCCTCCTCCCTCCTCCCTCCTCCCTCCTCCCTCCTCCCTCCTGGCGAAACCCTCGCCGTCGCTCGGGCGCCCATTTCCCGTGTTTTTTTCGGTCTCGTGCGTGTTTTTGTTTGCTCGTTGGTCGAGGATGGTCCTCGATGGTTCTCGCCGAGAAAAAAGGCACACGTCCAAGCGATGCCAGGACCCTGGGCACGATCGACCCGTCGTGCGCGGCCTGCCGCTCGCTGCGCGCGATGCGACGCTGGCGGCCTGCGCGCCTCGGCCGGGCCCCCCCCCCCCCCGCGCGCCCTTCGCAGGCCGCGCAGCCAACGGCCGCCTCCTCCGCCTCCTCCTCCCTCCTCCTCCTCCGCCTCCTCCACCTCCTCCTCCGCCTCCTCCACCTCCTCCTCCGCCTCCTCCGCCTCCGCCTCCTCCGCCTCCTCCACCTCCTCCTCCTCCTCCTCCTCCTCCTCCTCCTGGAGGGGGGCCGCCCCCGCGCGTGGCCGGGCGAGGAGCGCGCGCCTCGAGCGGGTCGTAAAAGAGCCCTTAAGGGCCACGGGCGGTGGGCGGAGGCGCGCACGCCCGCGCGCCGCACCCTGTGGCGCACACCGGCTGCCGCCGGAGCCCGCGAGCAGGCCGCCGCGAGAGCATCTCTGGGCCGACCACCATCCCCACGGTCAGAGGGAGGAGGAGGAGGAGGAAGATGAGGAGGAGGAGGAGGAGGAGGATGAGGAGGAGGAGGATCAGGATGAGGATGAAGAGCAGGAGGAGGAGGAGAAGGAGGAGGAGGAGGAGGAGGAGGAGGAGGAGGTGGAGGATGAAGAAGGAGGAGGAGGAGGAGGAAGGAGGAGGAGGAGGACCAGTGGAAACCCAAGAGCCCTCAACGGTGTTGGAGTTCATCCGGCCCCGCTCGCCGAGCCTCCCCCCTCCTGGAGGACGACGTAGGCTGCTCCCCTCGGGCTCCGAGGAGCCGACCCCCAGCTGGGGCGCTGGGACGGGTGGGCTGCGCTGCCATGGCCCGGTGGGGATGGGAACAGGTTCGCAACGTCGACCCCCAGGGGTCTGGCCCCCTTCCCTGGGATCAGGGGGACGTAAGACCTGGGTACAGGGGACTCGGAAATCCCCGACGAGGTCGTCAAAAAAATGACGAGGCCGAGCCTGCATTTTGACGAGGCCTCCCGCTGCAGACATCCCACGAAACTCCTCCTCGTCAAAATCCGAGGCGCGGTCGTCAAAAAACGATGGCGAACCCGAGTCCTGGCAAACCCGGGTCTTACGCTCCCCCGATGGGAGCGAGGCCTAGCAAGGACCCCTGGAGGCAGAAAATAGCGAAACACCTCCCGTCGTGATTTCTTCCTTCAGGTCTGGGAATTTAGGTCGATCCCGCGAGAGATGGACGAGGGCTTCAACACGACGCTGACCGTGAGAGCCCGCGGCCGAGCGCAAGGGCAATATGGACAGGCGGTGCCGGCCCGGGCGAGGGCACGCAGAAGGCACCGGCACGCCGCGCAGCAGAGGCCCTGCAGGGGCCATGCCCCGGGCCCCAGCGCGGCGCTGGCGCGCCCTCCCCGCCGAGGCCGGGCGGGTCGGCACGCCATCCCAGAGTTAGGTCTGGCATGTCCCCTGCAGGCGGATTTTGAACGAAGAATAAAGCATGGTCACAATTATCCCGGCAAAGCAACCTGACAGCGATGTGTAGAAGCATATGTGGAAGCATTCCCCTTAAGATTCAGATGAGAATCCAGTTGTCGAATTCTGCTGTTCTCGCAGTCGTAGTCGCATTCGCGATGACAGTCGCAGTGGCAACGGCAGTCGCAGTCACAGCCTCAGCCTCAGCCTGCCTCAGCCTCAGCCTCAGCCTGCCTCAGCCTCAGCCTGCCTCAGCCTCAGCCTCAGCCTGCTTCAGCCTCAGCCTCAGTCTGCCTTCAGCCTCGGCCTCAGCCTCAGCCTGCCTCAGCCTCAGCCTGCATCAGCCTCAGCCTCAGCCTCAGCCTGCCTCAGCATCAGCCTGCTTCAGCCTCAGCCTCAGCCTGCCTCAGCCTCAGCCTCAGTCTGCTTCAGCCTCAGCCTCAGTCTGCCTCAGCCTCGGCCTCAGCCTCAGCCTCAGCCTGCCTCAGCCTCAGCCTGCATCAGCCTCAGCCTCAGCCTCAGCCTGCCTCAGCATCAGCCTGCCTCAGGCTCAGCCTCAGCCTGCCTCAGCCTCAGCCTCAGCCTGCTTCAGCCTCAGCCTCAGTCTGCCTTCAGCCTCGGCCTCAGCCTCAGCCTGCCTCAGCCTGAGCCTGCATCAGCCTGCCTCAGCCTCAGCCTCAGCCTCAGCATCAGCCTGCCTCAGCCTCAGCCTCAGCCTGCCTCAGCCTCAGCCTCAGCCTGCTTCAGCCTCATCCTCAGTCTGCCTTCAGCCTCGGCCTCAGCCTCAGGCTGCCTCAGCCTCAGCCTGCATCAGCCTCAGCCTCAGCCTCAGCCTACCTCAGCATCAGCCTGCCTCAGCCTCAGCCTCAGCCTGCCTCAGCCTCAGCCTCAGCCTTCTTCAGCCTCAGCCTCAGTCTGCCTTCAGCCTCGGCCTCAGCCTCAGGCTGCCTCAGCCTCAGCCTGCATCAGCCTCAGCCTCAGCCTCAGCCTGCCTCAGCATCAGCCTGCCTCAGCCTCAGCCTCAGCCTGCCTCAGCCTCAGCCTCAGCCTGCTTCAGCCTCAGCCTCAGTCTGCCTTCAGCATTCAGCCTGCCTCAGCCTCTGCCTCAGCCTGCCTCAGGCTCAGCCTCAGCCTGCCTCAGCCTCAGCCTGCCTCAGCCTCAGCCTCAGCCTGCTTCAGCCTCAGCATCAGTCTGCCTTCAGCCTCGGCCTCAGCCTCAGCCTGCCTCAGCCTCAGCCTGCATCAGCCTCAGCCTCAGCCTCAGCCTGCCTCAGCATCAGCCTGCCTCAGCCTCAGCCTCAGCCTGCCTCAGCCTCAGCCTCAGCTTGCTTCAGCCTCAGCCTCAGTCTGCCTTCAGCCTCGGCCTCAGCCTCAGCCTGCCTCAGCCTCAGCCTGCATCAGCCTGAGCCTCAGCCTCAGCCTGCCTCAGAATCAGCCTGCCTCAGCCTCAGCCTCAGCCTGCCTCAGCCTCAGCCTCAGCCTGCTTCAGCCTCAGCCTCAGTCTGCCTTCGGCCTCAGCCTCAGCCTGCCTCAGCCTCAGCATCAGCCTGCCTCAGCATTCAAAATGTGGCCCGAAAATTGAGTTCTGGGAACTCGAAGACCACGAAGTGGCCTACAGTTGGCTCCGGGCATTCAAAATCATGCCCAGGAACGGAGTTCTGGGAACTCGAAGACCACGAAGTGGCCTACAGTTGGCTCTGGGCATTCAAAATCATGCCCAGGAATGGAGTTCTGGGAACTCGAAGACCACGAAGTGGCCTACAGTTGGCTCCGGGCATTCAAAATCATGCCCAGGAATGGAGTTCTGGGACCTCGAAGATCACGAAGCGTGTAACTGTTTCCTTAAAACGTCTTCCGCGGATTCTCCCCGGATCCTGCCCGGACCCCCCTGGGGAGTCATGATGCTTTCTTTTGAAACCATGGGAAACCTATCAGTCTTCGCTGTTAGGTAAAATGCTGAAACAGTTGTCAAGACTTGTAGAAAATCGTCCCCAGACTATTTCTTTCCATTTTCGAATATAACTCCTGTGCAGGGACACGCCCGACTGCATCCCAGGGCCCAGGATATGGCCCTGGCCACGCGTGGTGTGTGTGTGTGTGTGTGTGTGTGTGTGTGTGTGTGTGTGTGTGTGTGTGTGTGTGTGTGTGTGTGTGTGTGTGTGTGTGTTGTGTGCGTGCGTGCGTGCGTGCGTGCGTGCGTGCGTGCGTGCGTGCGTGCGTGCGTGCGTGCGTGTGTGCGTGTGTGTGTGTGTGTGTGTGTGTGTGTGTGTGCGTGGCGTGCGTGCGTGCGTGCGTGCGGCGTGCGTGCGTGTGTGTGTGTGTGTGTGTGTGTGTGTGTGTGTGTGTGTGTGTGTGTGCGTGCGTGCGTGCGTGCGTGCGCGTGCGTGCGTGCGTGCGTGCGTGCGTGGTGTGCGTGCGTGCGTGTGTGTGTGTGTATGTGTGTGTGTGTGTGTGTGTGTGTGTGTGTGTGTGTGTGTGCGTGTGTGCGTGCGTGCGTGCGTGCGTGCGTGCGTGCGCGTGTGCGTGTGTGTGTGTGTGTGTGTGTCGGGCCATCAAGAGCACACGTCCAGCAGCATTAAAGCAACTGACCGTGGCCTGCGCCAACGGGCCCACATGGGCCGCTTAGGAGCCTCTGGGCAGGACCAGAAACACAAAGCAGGCAATCCCCAGATTACCGAAGCAAGGCGCCACCGAACCCCTCGGAGGCCAGGGTCGAGGACGAGAAAAAACTCTCACCACGACAGGAAACCTACAGGGCATTGCCCGTGTAAGGATTCAGGCCTTTAAGAAGCCTGTCCCGACGGCGAGCCCTCTCACGGAGGGCAGGGGGGGTGCACTGGCTCGGTGCAGGCAATGGTCCCGTGCGCTCGACCAGCAGCCCTCTCGCCTGCTGCTTGCCCGAAAGACAGCCGCATCTCCGACAGACGGTGAACGGCGGAGCGGAAACAAACTCATGTCCCCGCTCGTGGACGACACCCGTCCCACCACCCGTGCCCCCGCCACCCTCCTCGGCGGCCGCGGCGACGGCAGCACGGCCGCGGGCTGCCTGGCCCCGCACCCGCGGGGCTCTCGGCGCCGCAGGGGGCGCCGTCGGTGGCGGGGGCGCCGCCAGCTCCGCCGACGGCGGGGTGGGGCTGCTCGCCCACGTTCGCATCGTACCGTCCCCCACCCACCCAACCTCCACGCACGTCGTCTCGCCCTCCCTGCCTTCTCCTTCCCAAGGTCCACCAGGGGGGCCTCCAGCAAACCTCCCGAGAGGGACGCAGGGGTGGAGGGCAGGTGGGCAGAGGGGGTGGCAGCAGGTGTGCCCCCAGCAGCACTGAGGAGACGGGCAGCGATACGATCCCGACGATCCTCGTCGGAAAGGCCAGTCTCGGGGCGCACTGAGGGGGTGGCCTCGTCGGCCGAAGCCCTCATGCCTCCGATTGGGGTCGAGGGCTCGGTGACCGCAGCACGAACGCGAGCGGATCGATCCAGCCTGAAAAACGCATGGGCCGATTGCGTGCCTTCGAGCCTGCTGCGAGACCTGAGCGGAGCCTCCGAGGGGGAAGGGCCGTCAACTTGCCGCCTCGGCGAGCGGCTGCCTCCCCCACCAGGGTCAGGCTCAACTCTCTCTGACGGGGTCGACGCAGCGGCGGCGGCGGCAGCGGCGGCCAGGGCAAGGGCGACCGCAGGGGGGGGGCGAGGAGGTGCAGGGCTGACCCCCTCGGCCTGAAGGGCCGCCTGGGCACGGAGCCTGGCCAGGTGAGACGGCGCGCATGGGTAGGATTCAAGGCGCCGTCTTGTCTCTGCCGTGCGTGCAACACGGTCACAAGCCAGGCAGCGGACCCCTCCTCCAGGGAGCTCTGCAAACTCGTGAACCACCAAAGCAAGCAGCCTGGGCGCCGTGACGGGCGGGGGGGGCCTCGGGTCGGCCACCGTGGGATCCCAAACTCCCGATTTAGCCACACGAGCAGCCGCCCAGGCCACGAATTTAGCATTGAGGCAGGCCTCTTCCATACGAATCTGGATGTTACGAACGAGGCCTTTAGCTGGGCTGGCTAAGTCAAGGGCGACACTAGCAAACAGATCAGCCCAGCTATTTCCAAGCCAATCCTGGAGATCAAGATTAAGCGCAATAGCCTGGTCCAGGGATTTATGCGAGGGAATCCATTCAAACGAGGGCGGCCTCCTGTCTTGGCGGGCCACAGTGGCGCGTAGCGCTCTCCAGAGTGCAGCGTGCCGGGCCGAAGCGGACGCGTCCCCAGGGCTCCACCGTTGCCCTTCATCCACGAAACTTAAATGATCAGAAATCAAACTCGAAACCTGTGGGGAAAGGCAGGTGGCGACGAGTCCAGCATATCTCTCAGCCCTCGCCACTGTCTGCAAACCTGGGAGAGAGCCGAAAATCGCCTTACAGGGCCAGCCGTCGTCTCGCCACTGTACTACGGCCCAGGAGCATCGAGCGATCTCAGGAGTGTCCATGCCGAAACCGCCGCCATCGATGTACAACCTACCGCCCCACGGAATCTCGGCGTCTCCCCAATGGTGCACGAAATCGGGGCACATGGGAGGCATCTCAGAGGCGGGAGGCTGCAGCGGGATAGCATAGGCAAACTGCAAGGCCTCATGTGGGTCATCCTGGGCCGACTCCCACGCAAGGCGATCAAGCCGCTCACGGGTCTTAAGAATCACTTCGGGCGGGTCCGCCTCGTGAAGGGCAGGGTCCAGGAGGGCGGGGCATTTGTACAGACGATGGCCATTGGTCTCACGTTCAGCGCCGCAGGCTAGACACCTACCACTGTCAATCAAACGCTTCTCATACTTTTTCTGCCGAGGCCACATCGCATCAGTCCAGACGCACTGCAGCGAGCCTCGTTCGGAAGGGTCCCGAACCGCCTTCTCCACGCACCGCCTGATGCCGCGATGCCAGAACCGCTCGCCATTGTGAATCTCTATGTGGTTCTCTGCGCGCGCTAGCAGCCAGCGCGTGACACCCTGGACGACGTGGTCGCGAACATCTCTAGGCGCCATCTG